TCTAAGTAGTAGGATTCCTGATATGATTTGAGGAATGCTCCTTAGTTAAGGGATATTGGAGTCTCTGGTTCGGAGCTCTTGAAGAAGTAAGGGTTCTATAAGGGTTACCATACAAGCTACTTTCGGGTTTTGGGTTCAGGAGTTTAATTCAATTACCTAGACTCCCCTAAATCACGGCCCAAAACCTATAAACGGCTGTTGTTCTACATACTTTTGGGGCCCAGGTATGGCTAATTCATTAAGTTAGCAGAACCTACTTGTCGGGTATCATGGGGACTTAAGCGCTAACCTTTGTGGTTCTATGGGGGCTTTATAGGCCCTACACTACCCAAAAAAGGTTAAAGGTTACCTACTCTACTAGGGTAACATGGTTTGACCTTAGACTGAAATCCTCGTCAAGAACCCAGGCTTTCTCGGTATGGTGGGGCACATTTCTTCCCGCCCACAGTGCCTTAAACTTGCCCGAAACCCTAAACCCAAACCCTATAGCCCCTAGACCTAAGATTTGTTGCAATTTTTTGAGGGCTCGATCTTGCAACCAGCAGTTGCGAAAAAGCTTCACAGGGATCAGGTTCATGATTTTAGGGGTGTAGGGTTGGGGGGCTCAGGGATTTTAATGGTTTCAAGGGGCGCTAAACCCTAAACCCCCTGTCTAGGAGGCCACATAACCGAAGCAGCGGAGGACCGTCCCTAAACCCTAAACTCTAAACCCTAAACCGCCGTGGATTCACAGTGTTTGGGGTTGTAGGGCTTGCTCGTGAGGTCCTGAACTCAAACCCGAACACATATAGGGTTCAGGGCTTAGGGGCTTGGGTTTATAGGGTTTAGGGTTTAGGGGTTTGGGTTTGTAGCTAAACCCTTAACATTAACGAAGGTAGTTCGGCCAAACTGAGCTTCTCATGGAACGGCCCCGGCCTCAAACGCTGCTATAGGTCGAGCTGGAGCCAGGCTTCTGGCACCTCCTTCCCAGAGTATTGAAGCCAGGCGTGATGCCAATTTTTCCTTGCGGCTCAATCGGAATTTGCTGCATGGGTTTACTCCTACACATTGTTCATGGCTATTTGTAAGTAGACTTCGTGCAACACATTGTAGGGCTATAATTGGCTTCGTACCCAAACCGACACACTAACCCATCGCTAATTGTTATTTGTAAATAGACTTCGTGCAACACCTTGTAGGGGTATAACTGGTTTCATACTTTGTATATGACTGTTCGCATCCATACAGTTACATAACCACAGCTACAGGTACTCAAACCCTAACGCTAACCCATCAACACCAGCCAAAACAACAATCTAAACCCTAACTAGACCTGAACTGTAGAACCTAAAACCCTAAACAACTTCGACATCCAAAACCACACGTACGGCGTAGCCGACTGTGTATAATATAAGCCTTGCAGCATCAAACCGAAAACCCTGCATCCTAGGCGGATGACCGTCACTAAGCCTCCGATGCCATGTGCGAGTTTCCGAAAATAGGGGACCCTAATATAGTACCCCAAAAAGTATTATCCTTATAATATAAGGACCCCTAAATAAGGTACCCCTATTTTCGGAAACTCCCATGTTGCGCAAGACCACACACCCTGAACTCCGGAACCCTGACCTCCGAACCTGAACCTTAATTTAAGGGTCTAGGGTTTAGGATTTGGGGTTTGGAGTTTAGGGTTTGGCGTTTGGGGCTTAGGGTCTGGGGCTTTTTGGCTTAGGGTTTAGGATAATTACTCCAAACCTGAACACTAAAACCCTAATAAAACTCCATGGCTGAGCCATAAGCCGAGCTGCTGATCAGGATGCCGTAGGCCGCGGCATTAAATACAAGCAGCGGTGAGCAGGAAGGCCTCCCCTCAAACACCATCATGCCCATCACTCCCGCATATATGGAACTCTGCGGCTCCGACCAATACCCCCAAAACTTCTTGGTGGTCTGTAAGGATTCAGGGCTGGGGTCTTATGGTTTAAGGTTTGGGGTTTAGGGTTTGGGTTTCGATGCTGATCTGCTAAAACTTACTTGGTCGCTCAAGACAGCATGGAAATCCGAACTCCTCTTACCGACCTCTGGAACCGCTACTTAGAAGGCCCTCCACCAAAGGGCAGGACCAAATCAATCCCGGAAGCCTCTGTGGCCCCCAGAGGGCTCTGGAAGAAACCAAGGCTACTACTCCCTGGATTCTGCCTTGAGCCGCTCGATATGGGAGTTTCCGAAAATGAGGGGTACCTTATCTTGGGGTCCCTATAATAAGGATCGTACTATTTAGGGTACTATATTAGGGTCCCCTATATTCGGAAACCCCCATATTGAGAAGATGCTCTTCGAGGATGGGCCGAGGGCCCATGGCTAAAAGCAGCGACCTGCCTACACCCTAGAAGCCTAACCCCGAAAGTCCTGAAGCGTTTAGGCTTCATCACGTTCAGAGTTTAGGGTTTGGAGTTTAGGGTTTTAGGGTTTTAGAGTGTAGGGTTTAGGGTTTAGGGTTTTAGGTTTAGGGTTTTAGAGTTTAGGGTTTACGGTTTAGGGTGTTAGGGGTTCGAGTTTAGGGTTTAGGGTTCGGGTTTAGGGTCGGCCTTAAAGGGGTTCTTATTCAGGTACTTTACGGCCCAACTCTGGACTAAAAGGCACATGGAGCCTCGGAGTCCCGAAAGGTTCCTTCTGGGAGTTTTTTCGCCCAATGGCTCCATGTACCCATAATGGGGTTCCTTTAAGGGTTCCTTTAATTTAAGGGTTCTATCGAGGGTATCATAAGGGTTTAGGGTTTAGGGTTTAAGGCTCCATGTAGATTTATAGTAGATACTTAAGCCTTCAAGGGGTCCCTGTATAGGTACTTTAAGGCCTAAGTATATGCTATGTGGGTACATGGAGCCTCAGGGTCAAGGGTTGCTACGTTCTTTCAAGGGTTGCTGAAAGGAGGGTTTCTGTAGGGGATCTATAAGGGCTTAGGATTCCTATGAGAGTGCTACCAGGGTCCCTGCAAAAAGGGCCCTGTAAGGTTTTCGAGTTTCCGAAAATGAGGGGTACCTTATCTTGGGGTCCTTATAAGTAAGGATCCTACCATTTAGGGTACTAGATTAGGGTCCCCTGTTTTCGGAAACTGCTGTAACAGCTCCCATGGAGGTTCCGTGAAGGGCTCGCGGGTCCGCATGTGAAATATCGCACATACGTCCTAGGGTCATACATACCCTACCCCTTTCTTAGAACGCCTACTTTCTTACATAACAGATCCTAGCCACAAGGGCAGGGTATGACCCTACGGGTACTGCATACATCAGCCTCGGTCCATCCAAATAGTACATACTTTGTGGCCTTGAAGTAGTCCCTATATAAGTACTTTGCTTCCAAAGTGTATGCTATTTGGGAACGTGGACCATGTGGGTAAAGGCGTTCTCACTGCCCAAAGACCCCAAAGTAGTTCCTTTATGGGGTTCGTATATAGAATCCTATAGGGTAATGTCAAAAAGGAACTACTTTGGGGCCTCTGGGTGGAACACGGTTTTTGGGTCTCTCATTCTATCAGTATAACACGGAGTTCTTGGTAACAGGATCGGCCATACCCCGGCCCCTTTATTCAAGGACCTTCCGACTTCCTCAGTTTAAGGGATTTACCTCAAATGTAATAGGACCACTTAGATGATTTAAGGTATTTCCTTGATTAACCGATTTTTGGAAAGTTTGGGTTAGTCGAGAGCCGAGTTCTTAAGTCCTTCTCATCTTCTCTGTGTTTTGGAGCAGTGAGGACTTCAGGTTTCAGGGAAAACCCAAATTTCGAGGGTTCCTTACCGTGATATTTTCTGTAAAGCCTTAAAATCGTGAGTGTTGAGGGATAAGGTGGGGTTTAGGGATGAGATGAGGGGCACGAGAAAGCCGTGCCTGAACGTGCTCGTTCTAGTCCGTAGAAGGAAAGGGAAACGTTCAAAGATGCCCACAAACGCGAACTATATCATCTTAGTGGGATTCCCCAAAACTCCAAAGTCCTGTTGCGGATCCGGGTCCTACTATAACTTAAAGTAAATCCCTTAACTCAGGGATACTGGAGTCTTAGAGTTTGTGGAGACTTAAGGCTTGAGGCGGCGGCAACAAGCTGCAAAAGCTTTTCGGTAGGGCTTTAGCCTTTTGCTGTCCCACCCAAGTATGCTGAGTATGCTGAAGGACCTAGGTATGTTATGCGAGCCCAAGCCCCCCCCCCCCCCCCCCGTCCCGAGCATTCTTTTGGAGTGAGTTCGAAGCGCGCCCTGTCCACGCGCTTCACAGCCTCACCCGACGATAGGCAAGTGACTGCACCCAGCAGGCAGGTGACGCTAATTGCTAGGAAAGTGGAACGAGCTACTGGCAACACTTATGCTCACACTTTATAAGGGCAACCTTGAGTGTGACCTCTTGCGCCGTTGTAGTCTCAGAAGGATACTGAAAGGGGGCTCATGTCGACGAGCAACGATACACAGGATGCAGCACTAGTCTATTGTTACGATGCATTATCACTGTCACCGTTACTACTAGTATTTCTGCGATTGCTCCTCTTGTTGTTATTGTCGGCATAGCGCTTTGGGTTATGTTATGGTAAAATTGGTCAAGGGTCGCAGGAGGCCCTATTTCTATTTCTAGACCGTCAGATATCTGTGTGTGTGTCTCACTCGGACCCCTGGAGTCTCTAGAGCAGGTCGGCGAGACGATGGTCGTTGCTAAAGTCAGAACTAGCGGGGTGGCGATGAAGATAGGCATGATGAGGCTAAAGACTTGAGGACTGGTATTGTAGCGATGCCGGCATTGAGTAATGTCGCCTGCCGTGGGAGTAGTGGTGGCAGTGGTGGGGGCGTGAGAAGGGTGTGGGTCGCGCGAGGGATGCAAGCCGGAGTGGCGATGGTGGTGATGATGATGTTGTCATCAATGTTATCTTTGATGGTGGGAGTGACCATGAAGGCGGCGAAAAGCTCTATGGCAGTGCGTCAGCATGGGAAAACCTGTATCGCGGCCATTCCCTCAACAGCAGCAAAGTGTTGCCGCGACTATTCGGCTGGGCTACGCTGCTCAGATGTGCTCTTGGTGGCCTGAATCATAGGGATCCTTAGGGGTGTAGGGGCGAGGGGTGTAGGGGACTGTATTTCCTTCAATAGGCCTTATTAGTCCTTATTATGGGTCTTAAGGCCCCCTACCCCCCCTCCTCCCCCTACACCCCTAAGGATCTCCATGACTGAATGAAGTCAGCCCTAAACCCTAAACCCTAAACTTTAAACCCTAAACCCTAAACCTCCTGATGCAGGCAGCTTCCCCAGACTCAAAGGCCCGGCTCTGAAACCAAAACTGCTCAGCCATGCTGGTCCCTAAGGGTCCATGTACCTATGTAGCATGTACTTAGGCCTTGAAGTATCTGTATAGGAAGCCCTTAAAGGCCTAAGTATATACTATGTAGGTACATGGAGCCTTAGGGAGTAGTATAGACGAACAGTCTTCCTCCTTGTCGTCATCATCATGTCCTTCATCAGCTTCTTAGACATGACATTGTTCCGAGATCAGAATGACAACTTCACACTTGGAGTGAAACGCAAATCCTGGACTCTAAACCCCTAGACTGGAGATTGCAGCGCGTTGCGGTAGAGTACAACCCGCGGTCAGCCGGGCTACAGCGGCCACAGGTTCGCTTGGTACAGGTGAAACCCTAAAGTACACACATTCACAAAGCAACCCTTGAATGGACGCCTTTACGGGTACGTTTACAGGTAAACCGAAAGATGGATAGCTTGACTGGCTTGCCTGTGGATCCAAAAACCTACCGTTTTAAGGGTCAGACCCTCTAATTAAGGGGTCATAACCTACTATTTTGTAGGGTTTGGGGCCACAGGTGGGGCTTGAGGCTTACGACCTGTGCTCCAGCCTTCGGTTAGGGTCTACCCAAGGCCCCAGAGTAGTTCCTTTTTGGGGTTCGTACATAGAACCCTATAGGGTAATCCCAAAAAAGAACTACTTTGGGGCCTCTGGGTAGGCTTTAGGCTTCAGGGTTTAGGGTTTAGGAGGTATAGGGTTTAGCGCAGTAGGGTTTAGCGTGTAGCGCTTTGCGCTTCGATTTTCATGATTGGACGACGTATTTTATGGCCAAGGACCCTTTATGGTTTGGGTTTTGGACTTCAGTCCCTGTAGCAAGAAAACAAAGTAAGCGCAATCGAAAACACATTAAAGCACACACACGCTGGACCGTCCAACCCGAAACCCTGAACCCCCCAACTAGCCTCTATTATATGGGCCCTAAGCCCTAAATCCTAAATACACACCATTGTAAGTAATAAGGGCCCTAGACCCCAAACCCAAACTACCCACGATTATAAGGACTCTATTAAAGGGTACTTGGCGGGGGCTGGTTTGCTGGGGCACTGACATCTGCAGGTGGCGCTGCGCCTCATGGGAGCTTTGCCAAGAAAAGGCATCCTAAGCCCAAAAGCCGAATCTTTAAACCCTAAACCTTAGAAGCTGCCCCCCCACCCTGTAATAGTGACTACAAGGGTTATATTAGGGCCCTATTATATTCCTATTGTACCACTATTACAGGGTGGGGGCCCCTTCTAACCCTAAGCCCGAAACCGACCCAAAGTCCCCCTTGCGAAGCATTCACTAGGTTACCCAGTAACCTAAGAATAAAAAGCCCTCTCTTTTTGGTATTGGGCAACTTTATAAGGAACCTAGGACCACAAAAAGGGAATAAGGGTACTACCGGGCATCCTAGGAAGCATTCATGGATCCCGGAGACTCCAAGATTCCAATATCCATTAAGGGAATATACCTCTAAGGGTTCCTCAAAGCGTTCCTTTAAGGGATGTATAAGGGAATTGAGGAATATACCTTAATTTATAGTAGGATTCCTATAATATGGTTTAAGGAACATTCCTTAATTAAGGCTTGCGCGCCTAAACAAAACTACCGCTCGAAATGTTGACGACGAGGAAGACAACGATGATGATGATGAAAATTACGATGGTCACGATAATATCGATGGCGATGGCGATGATGATGACGATGATGATAACAAACGTGGTAGCAATGATGATGACCTATCGATCTGGCAAAGGTGACTGTGCAAAGACCTTTTGCCCCATACCTTTTCCACCCACAAACCTCAACAAGCTTGCCGCGACCTTCAAAGTCATCGGCCCCACCAGTGTTTTCGCCTTCTGCCGTAAGACTAGCTTTGCAGCCCAGGTCCGGAGAATAAATTCAGGCCGGCTTTTCCCAGCACACAAAAAGCCCACTGCTCAACACATTGATGACGATGATGATAACGATGATGATGAGAATGATGAAGATGATGGTGATATCGATGGTGGCTGTGAGGATGATAGCGATGTTGACATCGATGATGATAGCACTGATGGTCGCCTAGGGCGCCCAGAAAACTGGACACGAAATCGTGTCCCGTTTTTGCTTCTGCCACAATACCGCTGGGGAAGGTCAAAACGTGCGATTTTGCTGCGCCTGCCAGACTTTTGTACGCTTCCCTCGGCCGCTCCTCTGTAGGTTTTGTCTTCAGGGTAGTCTTTTTTAGGCGCGCGCGCCATTAAGGCTTGTAATTAAGGGATCTTGGCGTCTCGGGGATTGAGGACAAGGGTTGGTTTAGGGCTAGGATAGGGACTCAGGGATTACGGGTTACAGGTTTAGGGTAGGGGCAGGAAGGCCCTAACCCAGAACCCCCGGGAAGATCTAGAAAGTACATCCCCGAATTTGGGGCCCTATACTGCTATAAGGGTACTTTACAGAAGCCATGAAATAAAGGGGTTTCAGAACCCCCCCCCCCCCCCTCCGCTTCTGCCCCTGGGCTGTTCTTGGGGGTTCTGCGAATTGTTCCTTCTTTGCATGATGACCTACTCTACTTACCCATTTTGCCCCAAGGTAGTTCCTTTTTGGGGTTAATGTTTAGAATTCTATAAGGTAATCCCAAGAAGGAACTACTTTGCGGCCTATGGGCAGTTCAAACAACGGAACCATTCAAGAATCCATCCGGAATCCCAAACCCCTAAAGCCAAAAAACCCGGATCCCCCCCCCCACCCCCCTGAGGAACGACACACTAACACGCGTGCAAAACCCTCAATCAGACCTTTAGAGTCATCCACGTAAAACAAATACCAGCACAACTCTCCTAATCCCTAAACCATATCTACCCGGTAACACCCGAGCCCCGCGCTTTCGCCCGCTGGCGCCGCTTCGGATGGAGCAGCCGCTGCCTTCCTCAGTGTGTCTTGTTGTACAGTGCATTTGTAGGGTTCTTTATGATTTAGGCTTACCTTAACCCTGAAGGACCTACCCTTTTAAGGACTTATATAAGGAAATCATAATAAGGAACCCTCAAGGTAGGTTATTCAGGACTAAGGTAAGGTTTAGGGTTTGGAAGGTGCAACTGCAGTGGTAGGGTTCTCATAGAGTTATGCTCTTCGGAATTGGGGCTCAGGTTTCGCAAGGACATGTGTTAAGTTCTAGGGTTAAGGGTTTAGGGTTTAGTTTTGAAAAGGCATTCTAGAAACGGTCTAGAACTCCGTAACATCTTAGTGTGGACCATTGCAAACAAATTCGCCTCGGCCCCGGCCGAAGCGGCCCCCCCCCCCCTCCCCCCCTCCCTCCCCCCTCCCGCCCACTCCCCCTTCCCTCCCGCCCCTCCTGCCCCTCCTCCGCTCGCTGACAGGTGCGAGCTTTCTGGAGTTTTCGACGACACGGGACTGCAATGTAGCATCTTTATGTGCGTCTCAGGCTTGTTTTAGACGCCCTTTCGTTGGGATAGGCGGAGTAACGTGGTTGAAAAGGCTGTGATGCTTCCCTAATCCAAGACGCCCACGAAATCCACAGCCTCAACGGCCCATACTTAAGGCATCCCGCCGCTTGCGAGAGTCTTGGTATCCAGTGTTTCGGAATGACGACACCAAATTCGTACTGATACTACCACTACTAATACTACTCACAATCATCCTGCTTCGTGTTGCTATGAACATTACTTTTACTATAAGTGCGATTCCAACTGTTACTTTTTTCCTACAAGAGCTTGCTGCAGATAGTAGCCACTCGCCGCATGCGCGTACAGCCGGGCCGAGGCGGACGACGCGCAGCGTTTCAAATTAAAACACAACTACCTCCAGGGTCTTCTGGTACTCGAGGTTTAGGACAATTGTTCTGTAGGTTAGTCTCCGGGAGAGTTCTTGACTATTAAGTATTTGGACCCTTGGGGGTTATGGAACCCAGGGACTCCAATATCCCTGAATTTTAGGAATAGCCCTGAATTATACGAGGAACCCTAACATGATTTAAGGTATATTCCTTCTAGAACTCCCTTATAGAGCCCTTACAGATCCCTTTCAGGCACCCTTTAACCCAAGGGTCAAAGGAGGGACCCTTAACAAGGATCCCTAGGTATATACCCTTAATATAGCTATTATATATCCATTATATAGCCCATTATAAGGTAGGGGTCCCCATTAAGGGTCCCTCCTTTTCTTCTTGGATTGAAGGAACTCTGAGGGGCATATTTGGGAGTTTCCGAAAATAGGGGACCCTAATATAGTACCCTAAATAGTAGGATCCTTATTCATAAGGTACCCCTATTTCCGGAAACCCTGATTTCTTGATCAAGGGATCGTCTCTGGGAGCCCTGATCCCTATCAACCTTGCAGATCCCTGGCAGGATCCCTTAATGAAAGGAACCCTGCTTGATCCATTAAAGGAATCCTAGGCATTCCTTAATTAAGGGATATCGGAGTATATTATTTGCCTAGGCCTTAAATTACCTATATAGGAACCCCTTCAAGGCTTAAGTATCTAGTTTCTCTAAATCAAGGGATTATTCAGGTTCCTAAAACTTTGGGTCTGTCATCGTGTAAGCAGTCTTGCTTGGGCTCGGGAGGAGCAAATAAGGCCTTACTTCCTCCTCACCAGTGATTGCTCTTAGGCGATGAGTAAAGCATCACTGCGCAAGTATGATGAGCATCATTTGCACCGCCCCGTTCCCGGATAGAAGCAGGGAGGGAAGGGTCGGGGAGGAGGGAGGGAGGCCCGGCTACTCCCTCCTTCCCGCCACTCCCCTGCTACTCCCCTTCTACTGCCCCGCTACTCCCCTCCTACTCCCCTGCTACTCCCCAACTACTCTTTGCTGCTCCCTTGCTCCTCCCCTGCTACTCCCTGCTACTCCCTTGCTACTCCCCTGCTACTCCCCTGCTACTCCTTTGCTACTCCCCTGCTACTCCCCTGCCACTCCCTTGCTACTCTGTCACTCCCCTTGCTACTCCCTCTTACTCCCCTTGCTACTCCCTTGGTACTCCCCTGCTACTCCCCTGCTACTCCCTTGCTACTCCCCTGCTACTCCCCTGCTACTCGCCTGCACTCCCTTGTGCTACTCCCTTCCTACTCCCCTGCTACTCCGTTGCTACTCCCTGCTACTCCCTTGCTACTCCCCTGCTACTCCCCTCCTACTCCCCTGCGACTCCCGTGCTACTCGCCTAGTATTTGTCGCAGGAAAGTAGGAGGGGGAGGAGCAGGGCAAGGCAGGGCTGCAATTTACAAGGCATCCAGGATTCAACCGGACTCAAAAACGAGCATGTACCAACTTACCAGACGTAGGAACCAAAAACGTAGACACCTGCAAAATGCTTGGACTAAAGGTACACCCTAAACCCCAAACGCTAAAACCCGAAACCCCTAAAACATTTGTAAAGATCTGGGTTGTAGTTTCGGGGCTCTGAAAAAATATGAATAGGTACCTCTATGGGAACCACAAACGATAATTGAACAAGTTTCCCAAATTGCCACCTGAAGGCCCTGACTAAACCCGAAACCCTAAACCCTACACCCGAAGCCGCTTAAACCCTAAACCCTCAGGCCATATGAGTCCTTAGAGCCTACTTGCAGGGGCATGGGACTGCGTAAGTAGGTTCTAAGTAGAGTTATAAGTACCCTAAATGGAGTTACCCCAATTATAACCCTACTTATAAACGACTTACCAAGTCCCCTGCCCCTCCAAGTAAACCCGAAACCCCAAACCCTAAAACGCTGGAACCTGAACTGAAAAGCAGCCCAGCTAGTAGACCCTAACCTTACCTTTCGTAAGGGCTTGGGTGGGAAACCCTGCAGAAACGCGCTGAGCGCGTCACGGCGCCGGCGCTGCGCCGAGCCGATGGCCGGCTCCCCAACCCATGGCCTCACCTGAAAACATAGGGTTCAGTAGGGTTCAAGGGTTTAGGGGTTTAGGGTTTGGGGTGTAGGGTTTGAGGTTTAAAGTTTGGGGTTTAAGGGTTTAGGGGCTGCGGGTTTAGGGGTTTAGGGGTTTAGGGTTCCTGTAAGGGTTCCTTTAAGGGTTCCTTTTAAGGGTTGCTCTCACGGTTCCTGTTAAGGGTTCCTTTTAAGGGTTCCTTTAAGGGTTGCTTTAAGGGTTCCTTTCAGGGTTTCTTTAAGGGTTCCTTTGAGGGTTTAGGGTATAAGGCGCCTCACCTGAAACCGTCGTTTAAGGGTTCCTTGAAGGGTTTAGGGTACAAGGGGCCTCACCTGAAACGGTCTAGAGGTACAGGGTTTAGGGGTTTAGGGTTTAACGGTTTGGGGCTTGGGGTTTAGGGTTTGAGGTATAGGGTTTAGGGTTACTCTAGGGTTAAGGGTTTAGGGTTGTTTTTTGGTGTATGGTTATCTTGGGCTTAGTTTAAGGTATAGGGTTTACAGAAGAAATTAGGTGTACCAGCAGCCACCCTCTAATAGAGCCCCTATGGGCCTTACTGGTGGGTATCTAGGGTATACTAGAGGGCAGTTAGGGGATTCAGGGTGCTGGGTATGGGTATAGTTGCTTATGGTTTTGAGGGCACCTTTTCGGGTTCAGGGTTACCCATGGCCTCACCTAAAAACGCAACAGGTATAGAGTTTAGGGGTTTAGGGGTTTCGGGTTTAGGGTTTTGGGGTTTTGGGTTTGGGGTTTAGGGTTTGAAGTTAGGGTTTAGGGCCTGGGGTTTAGGGTGTAAGGTTTAGGGTTCAGGGCTTTAGGGCTTCGAGTACTTATAACTGTACTCACTAAGTCCCATGAACCTCCAAGTAGGGTTTAGGGTTTAGAGTTTAAGCCCTACCCTTATGGGGAAGTGTAGGTGTGTAAGGACATCAGCAAACTTTTACAGCCCAGGCAAGCTTGGCAGCCGGATTGGAGCTCGAGGATTGTTCGTGAAACCGGAGTTTCCAAGATCCTACAATGTAGTAGCTTTTTGCGGTTTAGTGAAACCCGAAACCATCGTACTAGTAAACCCTATAAAAGATCCTACATCTCAGGGTATAAGCACACAACCCTTGAAGAACCCTTCATGTAACATGAAAGATTCCTTGTAAAGAACCTCTATAAAACCCCTCTTTGAACCCCCTTTAGAGAACCCTTAAACAACCTGACTTTGCGATGGACTTCATGGCGAGCCTGTAAAACTCGCCGGTGCTGTGACGCCCGTCTCCTACATGCAGCTGCAATGGTCCATATACATGCAATCAAATATAGACTCGTATAGATCTGCCTATCTCGCTGACAATCTATGTGCATCTACCTATCTATCTGCCTGACACTCTGTCTTTCTGTCTGTCTGCCTTACTATATACCGATCAGTCTACCCATTCATCTATCTACCTGTCGAGGCATCCATCTATCCGCCTATCTAGCTGCATATCTAACTACCAACCAATCTATTCTAAGTTCTGTTTGTATCTGTATGTATGTATTTATCTGTATATATATATATATATACATGTATACATCCCAATCCATTTACCCATGCATCTACCTCTCTTTCGAGCAGTCTAGCTACCGTCCTATCTAAGTATATAACTATGTAACCGTCTAACTAGGGACTAACTACCTATCTAACAATATATCTGCTGAGACCAGCTAGACATCTTCAACTAGTCATCATATGTGCCTTGGATGGCGCTTGTAGGACTACCGGGGCCAGGTTGAAAATTTAGACATGTTCGCGATTGAGAATCAAGGGATGCGGAGCTCAACTCTCTGCATGCTTGGCAGTTGTGGTCTTCCATGAGGGCTTTGCAGAACCCCGTTTGATGTTTTGCAACACCTTCAACTGTTGAACACAGAGCGATTGACAGTGAATAAACGTCATGCTGCCACGAACCACGCGATTATCGAGTCAACGGTGCATGCTCGTAGTCTTGTTAGTGCTCATACTAGCAGTCCTCCGTAGGTGCACACAAATATCTGTGTATATAATACCAACAAAAAACTGAACATGTCATGCCTGCGTACATCCAAAAATGCAGAGATAAATATGCTCATGTGATATTTTACAGTAGAAGTCGGGTTTATTCGGCATTTATTGGCTGCTTCTGTGTGGCTTCAACATACATGTTTTCATGTACTACAGACATGACTGATGTCCCTGCCGTGATGTTCTTTGGTTTGGCAAGTATTATGCACAGAGCGAACTAACATCACGTGCAAACATATGTCGCGACCGCGGACCTGTCTTATCCTTGCGACCCAAATGGCAAGGGAACATTCGACAGTCATTCAACGGCAAAACATGATACCTGGCATTGATATTTTGAAAGTCATACTGCTAAGCTTGTCCGTTTCATGCCCGTTGTAGTCGGCGATTACCTGTGACCCCAAACCCCACAAAAATGTTAGGTTATGACCCCTTATAGTTCCCCCCAAACGGCAGGTTTTTGGATCCCCAGCTACACACCCGAAGGAACCGCAAGCCCAGAACCATCAACCCTGACTCCCTTCCTCGGGTCGGCAGGGCCCCAGCTGCTCAACGAGATCTGCGCGGTTTAGGAGTTAAGGTTTAGGATTAGAAGGTTGAGAGGGTTGCTGGGTGGAGTTGAAAGTGTAAGATTTGGAGTTCAGGCATTGGGGTTTAAGGGTTTAGGGTTTCAGGCTTTGGGGTTCAGGTTGGGTGCTTGTAGCAAGAATCGAAATCGTCGGCCGCAAACAGCAAGTTCATTTCGCTTTCGTTGCTTGGATCCAAAAGGCTCTGACAAGGAAGCAACACAGGGACGCTTTCAGCTGCCTTGGCGCTAGGCTTGGCAAAGGGTTTCTTTGTCAGGACCCCTTATGCTGGTCTTGAGCTACTGCAATCTGCTTGTTGCTTCATTCACATCGTAGTAGTCGTAGTATTTCATCATCGCCCCATGCAGGCTGCTGCATCTCTCGGTAACGGCGGCACCTGCCACGTGATGACTACTGGCCTCGTGCTGATCAGTGCTCACAGCCTAAAACGGCAGGGGTGCCCGGTGCTGTCTGCTGTTCTTTGCTGCTGTCTGCGGTGCTACATGTATGCTTGCAGCTGAAATATCCGGGCGAATTATCGAACGTGAGCTGTCATGTGTAACGGAATCAAAGACAGCCCTGTGCCAGCGGAGACGCATGCATACTTCAGCACACTGTCCAAGAATTCCAGAGCCGTGACAATGTCAACGACGTGCAGCCAGTCCAAATGGGAGTTTCCGAACATTAGGGGTACCTTATTTCGGGGTCCTTAGAATAAGGATCCTACTATTTAGGGTATCATATTAGGGCCCCCTCTGTTTTTGGAAACTCCCAAATGAATGATGGACCAGTGGAAGAGGGAAGCTCCCTGAAAAGGGATTTCTCCTGCAAAGAACCAACAGCCGTACAGTGGTCGTGTCTGTTCACTAGCTGCCCAACGAGCCTCAGATATAAAACAGCCTCAGAAATGCAAAGTTCAACTTTCACATTACTATAGTAATAGATAGAACTATATAATCCTAAACCCTAAACCCTAAACTCCTAAACCCCTTAAAAGAACCTAAGGGCTGAGTATTGGAGAACTAGGTTTTCAGGTTTCAGCCGAAGAGCTGAAGGGTTTAGGGTTAGGGTTTTGGGTTTAGGGTTGGGGGTTTAGGGTTCAGGGTTTGGGTGGGATTTAGGGTTTGGGGTTTCTGTAAGACTGCAGGATCGAGGTCTATCAAACGGAGGATGGAGTCTCTATTCATGCTGTAACAGCACGAAAGCGTTGTTATTCACGGGAAGACCCGTGACAACCTCCATATACACGGAGGGCCGTGGGGACTCCTAAGTTCTGCGTTGAAGGATTGGGTTGAACATGCTTGCAGGGCTCTTGTTCGGGATGAGGGTTTAGGGTGGGGTTTCAAGGCTTGGTAGACGGCTTTTTCTGACTTGAGCGAACCAGGAGGCAAACGATCAAGCATTTCCAATCAGTACGGGCTGCTCCACTTTGCCCATTGCCATTGCCACCAGTGATTTAAAAGGGTTTTCCCTACTGCGGATGGAACCGGCACTGGCACAGGTCAGCCTTGTCTATACTGCTGTCCTACATCTGTAAGGGACCCGAGTGCTAGGATGAGGAACCCTGCTTTTGTTGAATGCCCTTTCAGTCTTAATCTTACCTGTAGGCTCATACCCTCCCCCTTTTTTCGGGCGCCTGCTTTTTAAGATAACAGATCCTAGCCATAAAACTAGGTATCCTAAAGAAGGGGTAGGGCATGAGCCTCTAGGTAGATCTACGGTTCAGTTTAGGCTTGGAGATCCCGCAGTCATTGTTCGGAAATTGCCCCACGGTAGACATGCCTTGACCGTAAAGTGTATTATAGACGAGCCGTTTCAGGCCCATGCAAAGATGCCATACTGCTGATGGACAAAATCCTGCATGACCCTAAAAACTCTAAACTACTCTAAACTATGGGAACTATGGAAAATTCCTGATCATGGGAAATGCAGGATTTTGTCCATCAGCAGTAGTATAGTACAATGTAGGTAGGTGGACTCTGAGGACAAGCTACCTATGCTCACTATAGAAGTCCCGACCCATCTTAAACCTGCTAGATGCCTCTATAGGCCTTTAGGAGACCCTGCAGACCCTAAACCCTTAACCCGAAACCTGGCGCAAGGTAGGGTGGCGGTGGTTTCGCGCCAGCGCCATCGTCAAAGCCAAGATACCTCGGCTTTGGGCGCGTCTGCGTTGGTTTTTGTGGTTTTGGAGGGGTTTGGGAATCATGGTATATTCCTGATTATGGGTAATGCAGGGTTTATATCATCAACCGTGTTTCGGATCACGGTGGTCGACCCTACAGTTTGTTTGTGCGGGGATCTGGTGGCTCTACGGACTCTTGCAGAGAACATCCCCGACTGTAAAATTTGGAAGTTTCCGAAAACAGGGGACCCTATGGTACGCGAAATCGTAGGATCCTTAGTATGAGGACCTCAACATAAGTTAACCCCTAATTTTCGGAAACTCCCAATTCTCGGTCTTGATGGACAAAGCCATGAAACAAGGCCGCATTGGCCAGAGGGAGGTCCCATTGCTCCGAACTTTCCACAGCTGCAACTCCCCAGAGAACCCAATATCCCTTAATTAAGGAATATAGCTTAAATCATAATATGAAGCCCCTTATAATTTAAGGTATATTCCTTCATTAAGGGGTATTGGGCTCTCTGGGTCCTTGATAACCGGAATCTCCGTCCTAATCGTGACGGCTGTCTTTGAGCCGCTCCACCTTGTTCCGCGAAGATACCAAAATGCCTGAAGGAGGAAATCGGCCTGAACCCTGAACCAGAAACCCCTAAACCCTAAACCGTGCATCACTGGCATATCCAGCTGCAAGACTGTGCTGTGTCAGCAAGGAATATGGGAGTTTCCGAAAATAGGGGACCCCAATATAGTACCCTAACTAGTAGGATCCTTATTACAAGGACCCCCAAATAAGGTACCCCGATTTTTTTCGGAAACTCCGATATTCGCCGCAGGAATGCACTCAGTTACAAAGGCCTGAACGATGGGCCAGATTGCAGGAAGATACCAAGATACGCGCCTCAAGGATGGGTCACAAGATTTGAGTCCATCCGAAGAAGCCCTGCAAGGGAATCCTACACCTAAACCCTTAGCCGTAGCCCATTCAAAGGAATTCTAAGCCCTAAAAACCAGCCCTTTAAAGAAACCCTAGACCCTAAGCCCCTTCAAGGTTTCTAAACAACTTGAGGGCCCTTCAAAAAAAAGATGACCCTAAGCTTAGGTCTCGAGTGTCTGGCATCACGGCGCCGGGTGCCAAGCCAGCAGCAGCAAGCGTGACCTGCCAGTTTGGGAGGGCAACCCAAACCAAAAGCCCTAAGTGCTACCTAAAACTACCAAACCCTGCTTTTTTGTAGGTTCTTATTATGAGCCCGAATTTATAGGGACCCTACAAAAAAGTCGGTTTTGGTAGGTTAAGGTAAGGGTGACTTCCGGGCTACGCACGTTCCAGAGAGCTCAGTGGAGTTTGAATAAAGCGGTGATACAACCGCTATCTCACGATAGTCTCCAGAGAGGGAGCACCAGGATGCCACGAAGGGGATCGACTCCTCACGCGTCACACTGCCGTGCAATTCACCACCTCCCCACTTCGCAACCGGCCGACTGCTGCCCAGGGTCATCATGAGGGCCACCAGCGCTTGGATGGCTGCATCGGCCCCTCCAGAGCCGAGGCAAGCAGGCAGCACCACCCTCCCGCCGATCTCTTCAGGCGCCAGCTCCATGGCCTTTTCCAGACCCTCAGCTGGGAAAACCACCAATCTCGGGACGGACTGGCCCGAGATGACCAAGTGGCGGTGAACTCTGGCGGTTTTGGGCTTAGTTTTCAGGGCTTTGGGGTTTAGGGGGACTTAGTAAGTAGCTTATAAGTAGAGTTATAAGTACCCTATATGGAGTTACCCCAATTATAACCCTACTTACTAAGTCCCCTGCCCTTCCAAGTAGGGTTTCTGCACGGTTTAGGGGTGTAGGGGTTTTGGGTTTTGGGGGGGTTAGGGTTGCTTTATGGTTAGGGGCTCATGGTTCAGGGTTTAAGGGGTCCGGGCTTGTTTAGAGTTTAAGGGGGTTAGGGGTCTGAAGGGAACTCCAGAAAGTTGGAATATGGATTAATGGTAGGATCCCCTATAATTTACCTTAAAGGGGTTACGATAATGATATTCCAACTTTCTGGCTTCTACCTTAAGGTTTCCTTTAAGTACACTCTAAACAAGTTTGTATACTTAACACAGCGACACCCTAGACACCGAAGCCAGGACCCTGAGCCCCAGGTGTCGGAGTATTCTCCGAGAGCCGCTGCTCTGAGGAATGTAGGTTCAGCGGTTTAGGGTTTAGGAGGGCTTAGGGTTTAGGAGGGCTTAGGGCTTAGGGTTTAGGGCTTAGGGTTTAGGGGCTTAGGCTTTAGGGTTTAGGGTTTAGGGCTTAGGGTTTAGGGTTTAGGGTTTAGGGCTTAGGGTTTAGGGCTTAGGGTTTAGGGGCTTAGGCTTCAGGGTTTAGGGTATATCCGTCAGCTGCCAAGTTGAATCGCATCAAAATTACCAGCAGTCGGTAAACGTGTAGATGCTGACGAAAACCGTAAACAGATAAGAAATGCCACAGATAAACAATCTGTACCTGTGTATATATGCATCTAGGTCATGACAAAAACGTGGTCACCACGAGCAATCATCCTGAACAACAGTGAAACAACATTTCCTTAACCATGACGGGTCCTGTATGAAGCCATGCGAGAAAGGTATGGTCAGACTCTCCCGTCGAAGAACAGTCAAGAACAGCACCTATCCTAAACCAAAGCCTTGCATTCCTAAACTCTTAACCCCCAAACCCCAAAACCCCCACAACCCTAAAGCACCTCAAACTAGCGCCCGAAACAGAGCCCAATGTCAAGACAGCGAAGCGCTTCATGCAAGTATCCAGTGCTCGAAGTTTTAGGGTTCAGTGGTTTAGGGTTTAGGCTTGCTGCAAGGTTCACTGGCAGGTACTATAATACCCTATTCGGGACTAGAAGTAGAAAACAAATCTAGGCAGTCGTGCTACATATGACGCCCTTGCTACGTGCCCCGGTCCTGCAATGTAGATACCCTAACAAGAAATCCCTCCAAACTGCCTTCCCCACTGCAGGGGTCTAACAAGTCAATTGTAGAAACCCTTGTAAAGTCCCTATACAACAAATAATTGCAGTATAGTCTACGCTTACAGCTGTCAAGGCTCCCAAACCCTACACAATCGTTTAAGTAGCTCCTATAACTTGAGACCCGATGGCCCTCAGATTATGCTTATTTCAAGATTTCAAATTGCCAGAGAATGTTGTGTGAAGTTGAACGGAAGGTAATTTTACAACATTTAAAACTGTTGAATTGGGCCTAAGGTCTGGGATGGTCTTAAGATGCAGGATTTGGAGTTGCGGGGTCAGGGTTCTCGAACCCGAGACCAAAGATCCCGAAACGCGAACTACGAGTCTTAGAGCTGACGAATGTATAGGGACGAATGTATGGGGTTCGTTTAAGCCTAAACTTAGGTCCCTAAACACCCAAAAAAACGATAGAGCCCTATGGCCCTAACAACACCCTTGAGCATTACAACCTAAACCCTCGGGTATCCTGTACGGATCAAGGCCACCTTCGGGGCTAGACGCTCCATAGGGGGCGACCGGTAGATGTACCTTGAGCTTCTGCTGCACGATGAGTGAGGTTTGGGGTGTTAAAGTTCAGGGTTTAAGGTTTACGCCTCGGTCGCAGGTGTCAAGAACTAAAACGGCACATTCAGTCTGATGCTTTTGTCGAGCTGTCTTGAGTTTGTTCTCGCATTTATGCTACCCTAAACCCTAAACCCTAAACTGCACGACTTGTGAAGGGCCGAAGTTCTGTTCGACCCCCGAATGGGCTGCTTTCATGCCCTGACTGCGACAGGGCTTTTTTCAGGCCCTGGACACCCACTGGAACAATTTTGTTCGGGCCCGGGAAACCCACTAGAGTTTTGTTTCCGCTCCGGGGGGGGGGGGGGGGGGGTTGGGGCAGGGTTTCCGCTTGCGACCAGGAGACTCTCACTACCATTCCCACTAAATAATGGTATCACCACACCTACACAAAGTCGACAAAATATCTGCATCTCGACACACCACTCCAGATGTGCACACTACCCCCGAGGAACTCTCCATCCAGACGGGGTTAGTGCATAAAACATCACAGAGGCAAACAACAAAAACAGGTCCTTGTGAAGCCAGGTAACCGCCTGAGGCATTTGGTTTGAACGTCATATTCGTTGAGCAAGGTAACAATAGAAGCCCATTTACCTACATGGTGGTTTCCTGCCCCCAGGTTTCTGTAAAAACCTGTAACTATATACAGTAAGGCACCAATATACCTAGTAACACTAAGGCACCATATAATCTCAGAATACAGCCCCATAAGCCCCGTATAAACCCCATCTAACACCTTATGAAAATCTTCATAAATCTCGTGCAACCATCGCTAACCCGGCCTTGAGAGCAATATTGAGCTGATGCAACACTGGTGCCACAGTTGCAAGTTTATGGTTCAAGGTTTAAGATTTACAAGTCCATGCACAACCCTCACAAACATCCTGGAACCCTTCAGCAAAAACCTATCAAGCCCCTGGCTCTATAACTTCCTCGCAAAGCTTAGGGCCAGGATAAACCTTGCTTCAAAAGACGCTGTCAACACCATGACTGATTAAACATCTTAATCAAAAACCATTCGAGAACCTCCAAAACTCCCAAATATTCCGGAAAAAAATTCCCTGAACCGAAAACCCCAAACCAACCAAGCCCTAAACCCAAAAGCTTTAAACCCTAAACCCCGAAACCCTAAAATCAAGAAACACACACACACACACACTCAAAGGGTCCAAGTAGTAGTATAGGATATACTTTGGGGCCCAACATACCTACTAAGTGCCTACTATAATGGTACTTGGACCCTTTGGGACAGGGCCCGCTCCGAGTCTCCGGGCCAAGGCAAGCCCTGCACCGAAGGCGCCAGGAGCGGCCGAAGAGTCTCAACGACCTGCCATGGTTTAGGGTTTAGGGGTTAGGGGTTTAGGGTTTAGAGGTTTAGGGTTTAGGGTTTAGGGGTTTAGGGTTTAGGGGTTTAGGGTTTAGGGTTTAGGGGTTTAGGGCTCAGGGTTTAGGGTTGAGGGGTTTAGGGCGTTGTGTTCCTTGGTCCTTTAAGGCTTGCTTCGGGGTTTAGGGTTTAGGGTACTTTAAGGATTCCGTAACTGATCCCGCAAAAAGGTTCCAACCGTAACCCGGAAGAGGCTTGAAAATTGGGACGTTAATAGTTGGAAGAGGGTTTGAAAAAAAGGCATGCCACCCAGAGCCTCCAATATCCTTTAATTAAGGAATATATAATATACGTATGGCCTAAGGCCAAAGGGTTCTTAAAAGGTTCCTTGTTATTGGATTTTTAAAATAAATAAATAAATAAATATATATATATATATATAGACCTTAAAATATAGTAGGATCCGTAATATGATTCATGCTGTATTCCTTAACTAAGGGATTTTGGAGTCGCCGGGCATGAGGCAATCAAAGGGTCTTTGTCTTTACGTTTATGTAGGTTTTAAGATCGGGAGATACTTAGGGCTTAGGCTTTTGGTATGGTTTACGGATCTTTGGCGCAAGGAAGGACTGCACTGATGTCGACATTTCCCACCACTGTTGTCGGATACTCCACTGGACACCCCAACTACCCCGAGAGCCCAAGTGCCAATACCCCCATGATGCAGGCATTCACCTTAAATTACACAAAACTTCATACATAGCCCTAAACCCTAAACCCTATTGTGATACCCAATAAATTCCTTGATTAGCGGCCATGGGCTCGCAGGGCAAACGCTACGAACAGCCAAAAAGGCCGCCATTAGTTGAAATGGCTTAGGGTTTAGGGTTTATATAGGGTTTAAGGTTTAGGGTTTTGGGGTTTAGGGTTCAGGGTTTAGGGTTCAGGGTTTAGGAAATGATGTAGGGGCCTTAATAATACCGTCAAAGGGATCCTTAAGGGTTCCTGTAAGTGATCCATAAGGGATCTCTAAAAAATACCAAAACTGTTTTGAGTTGGGGGTTTCTTCTTTTATTTATAGTATAATGGGCCCAAAAACCCTATTCTAATTATTAAGGCCCAATAATGCACCCTAAACCCCCTGTTGACAGGTTGATGAGTTTCTGCTTGAGGTCATTCAGGGCCCATGGCAAAATAAAAGTGTTCCTAAAGTCTAGACTCTGCAGCCCTGAAACCGAAAGCCCGAAACGGTTCAGGGCACCCTTAGCAATTTATGAGGCATAATATACTAGAGTTACTTTAACTAAGGGCCCGTAAGGGAATACTATACTTGGGGTTTGGGGGGTTGGGGTTTGGCCCTACGAGGTCTAAGGGTGGTTGCTAAGGCAGGGCTTCGGACTTGGGGCTTATACTATACCCCCCCCTTAGAACCATAATAAACATAATATGTTCAATGTTCACTTGGGTTTTATATGAACAAAAATTAAATTGAAAAATTGGATGGAAACTACGGTATAGGGCCTGTGAGGTCTGGTTTTCTGTGGCTTAAAGCTCAGGGCCTCTATGTCTTGAATCTGCGAAGCGCGAAACCGAAAGTGTCACTTCCAGAACCATGAAACCTGCTGGTGATACACGTCACTGCAATATATTGAAACCATGTTCAGCGAATTAAACACAAAAGATCGGAAACATGCGTTTTGAGAGTTTAAAGGACTAAATATTAAGATATTGTTACTGAAAGAAATGAAATCTCAAATCTTAAGTGACAGTGTGAAATAATATCGTACAGCTTGACCCATCCCGAAATCAAATAGAAGTGGACTAACCTTCAACATACCGTCAGGACCCGTAATACCTGTAAGCAAACAAAAACTCACTACGCCCCACTAGTGGATCGCCGGTGGCCTTGCTGCCAGTTTCAGCAGCCCGGAAGTGGACCTGCATCCATGGGTCGCACCAAGACAGCGTAAAAGGTCAAGGACCCCGGTAAGAGTGCATGGGATTGAGAGGTCGAGTTTTGAGGGTTCGGGGTGTACGGGTTTAGTCTGGTGTCGTCTTAGATTCTTTATGGAGCATAGCACTTTTCAATACTTACAACCCCTATTGCGCCCTTCTGAGGTACTACTTCATAACCTTTCCATGAAACTCCAAGTACGGACTGGGACTGAGGAGCTTAAGGCCTTGCCTGTGCAGGAAAAAGAACGCTTCCGGGATGAACCCCAACTTTAGGGTGGAGCGCTGGGTTTCTAAACCGTGGCACAGGGCAAACTTCAGCCGGATCAGAAGTGGGTTCGTGGTTCTGGCACAGTGAAAGCGGTGCGTGTCACAGTCAGGCGAGCATGCAGCAACAAAGCCGTGCAGGACTTCAACATCAGGGTTAGGGTTTAGGATACATTTTTAGAATGTTGCTGACTTGACTCTAGGCTGCGCAAACACAGAAAGTCACCGGCAGCTTTTCGATGACCCATCGTCTTTGTCCCATCCAGGTACGGGAATTCGTGACATACGTTATCAACACCAGGCAATGTAGACCACGCATGCCGTGTCTCGTTGTGGCCTTTTGTATTTGTGAGGTGTTGTATGCTTCCCATAGCGTTCTATATTTGATCCAGAAGCCACAAAAAGCTATCAAGCCACATTCCTAATCTCCCAACCCTAAACCCCTAAACTCTAAACTCCTACACCATAAACCGACAAAAACCAGCAACCCAAATTCACTGCGAAAGCCTCCGAGCCCCAAGCCTTATACCCTAAACCCTATACCCATAAACCCCCTATAGATCCCGCTAAGGGAACCCTTATAAAGCCCTAAATCTTCAGGGTTATCCCTACAGTACATCCTCAAGCCTCAATACCCTAAACCCTAAAGCCTAGACCCGGTGGGCGGCGCTTAAGCCCCTCGACATCGATGCCGTCCACAGGCAGTGGTACCGGGAGTGCTGTTCCCTTATTGAAGTCACTGCTACCCGAAACTTTGCCAGGTGGCGTTGCTTTCTTGTGCCCTTGCCCCCCCCCCCCCCCCGGGCCCCCCTGCCCCTGCGGCCCCTTTTTTGGGGAGCAGAAGCTTGGCTGCAGTTGTGTGGTTGTTGTTTAGGTCCGAAACCCTAAAAGGTACAGGTTTGGGTGGTTTGCCGCCTCGGACGGCGTCAGCTAGGTGAGTTATCCTCCACAGTCGGGCCATGGCTGCGATTCGTAGGCAACAAGACCGCTAATAAATCTATACTCCATGTTACACTGCCGCTACGCAATTTTGCAGCAAAACCTTATACCCTAAACCCTAAAGCCTAAACCCTAAACCTTATACCTTAAACCCTAAGCCCTAAAGCCTAAACCCCTAAACCCCAAACCGCTAAACCCCTGAAGCCTAACCCCTTAAACCCTAAACCCCTGAACCCCTAAACCCTAAACCCCAAAAGCCTAAACCCTAAACCGCTAAACCCTAAACCCCTAAACCCCCGAACCCCACATCGCGGCCTGCAACACCGACTTGTCCGGACAGACAATCCGCAAGATGCACGTCTCGCCACAGAGATCGCAGGAGGCTTCGGGCTTAGGGTTTAGTATGGTTTAATGGTTTTAGGGGCTTAGGGTTTTAGGGGTTTGGGGGTTTGATGGGCTTAGGGTTTAGGGTTTAGGGTTTTAGGGGTTTGGGGGTTAGGGGCTTAGGGTTTAGGGCTTTAGGGTTTGGAGGTTTTGAGTTTGGGGGGTTGAGGGTTTAGGGGTTTGGGGGGTTTTGGGTTTAAGGTTTAGGGTTTACCTGCGATCTCCAACTCTACTAAATAGGGAGTTATGACCCCGTGCTTGCAGAGTAGAGCCCTGAGCCTAAAAGGTAACTGGAGCCACAAGGAGGCGGTTTGGGGGGGCGCGTCTCTACTGGCATCTCATGGGGGCTTATGCCTTTGAGTGAACTCTGGGGTCCAGGGGGGCCCGAAAACCTTAAAACCCCCAACGCTAAACCGTAAGCCCTGAACCCAAAACCCTGAGCTAGGGTAGGGTCTGTCCTGGCACGCCATGGACTGTGGAGCTTACGGGTTTACCTGCTTTTAGTGACTAGGGTCCTAAATAAGGTCACTGTACTTGTAATTAAGTCCATTGTAGGGCCAGTTTCAGGTTTAGGGTGGAAGGCCAATTTTCGGTTTGGGGTTTAGGGTAGGGCATCAGCTAAGCTGGTATCCTGGCCTAGGCGCCCTAAGCCCGATTCGGGGTCTTTATTGGAGGAGAGCTGGGATTTATTGCGGGTGTTGCACACAACAAGTTCTACAGTTAGAGCTCAAAGCTCTCGAAATTACGAGTTTTCCGTGCGAATCCTCTTCACTTCTTGGTCTTCTTCCGACGACGAGGAGGATTCGTTGCCGCTCTGCCTTGACTCACCCCCTCCAGCAGCCATCACCTTCTGCTGTTACAACATGAAAGGATCTGCCCCGAACGCACGCAGCCTCAAAGGTCTGATGATCGCCAAAACAAGCGACCCGGTAAAGCACTTTTGCAGGGTAATAAAACTCGGTAGAGAGGATAGGAGTCCCATCGTCAAGTGCACCTCTGGGTCGCATGATTGGCGGGAGTGTGACAAGTTTTGGCGGGCTCATCATTGAAGCCATTGGGTTCATTCCCCTCTAAACCCTAAACCCTAAACCCTAAAACCTAAACCCTAAACCCTAAACCCCAAACCCCATTCCTGGCATGTTTGGAAATAGGATGCAGGGAGCTGCCATCATGTTGTTCTCACTGACACGAGCGCTCTTCCTCGACTCCCATGGCTCTCGGCGAGAGTGCAAAGAGCTCTCAAACACTACGTAGCTAAGGGACTCGATCTTGAACTCACATATGTTTATGGCGGCGCCACCAGCAGTAGCCCAAAGCCTACAAAATAGCAGCTTATGACCTGTTTATTGGTACGGTATAGCCCACCTTTTTAAAAAGAACACAAGAGCTTGCTGACAAGATGTTCTTACGGCTGCCACTATATGGAGCTCTGCAATGCGTGAGCATGATTCAAGCAAGACCGAAGCCACAAATACAGGGGCCTTACTAATGGGGCTCATTATACTTTACTTCTAATAAGGAACCCCGCAAAATTGTATTGGTAATTATTTAAGCCCTATCCTAAACCCTATAGATCCCTTCTTAGATCCCTTAAAGGAACCCTTAAGGATCCCTTTATTTAGGCCCCCTATAGTAGACCGCTGATGAATACACCCGGCTCTTCTAGGGCATTCTAGGGCATTCGGGGCAGCTTGGCTCTGCCCAGAGAACCCAATATCCCTTCACTGAGGAATACCTTGGGATCCCAAAACCTACGGTTTTAAGGGTCAGACCCTCAAATTAAAGGATCATAACCTGCTATTTTGTAGGGTTTGGGGCTACAGGTATATCTTACCCTTAACTAAGGATTGGGTACTGCCCCCATACAGTAGCAGTCCATACTAGGGCTACTATTAAGGTCCTAAGATATCTATATTATGAATCTTATCCAACTGTTACTGAGTGGGGGCAGTACCCAAACTAAGGAATATATCTTACAGTGGATCCCAGAAAGTTGCAACATGGATTAAGGATCACTAGTGCTAGGATTCCCTATACTTTACCTTAAGGGCATCAGGATAATGATGTTCCAACTTTCTGGCTTCTACTGTACATCATAAATAAGAAGCCCCTTGTAACTTAAGGTCTTTTCCTGAAGTAAGGGGTATTGGGCTGGCTCTCTGGGTGTCATGTAGGAACCTGATTAAGAAACCTTGGGCTGTTGTTAGGGTTCCTTGTATCAATCCTCCTATTACTTTGGGGGTTTTCGGGCCAGGGTCTCTTGATCGGGTTCCTACACTACCCTGCCCTCTGATCCCGTAAACAACGACAAACTCGAAGGACACAAACACAGATTAAAAAAACAAACAAAACCTCTTACTAAGACCTAAACTAGGATGCCCAGTAACCTAGGAATAAAAAGGCCTCTCTGTTTGGTATTGGGTAACTTTATAAGGAACCTAGGACTACAAAAGGGGATAAGGGTACTACTGGGCATCCTAGTAAACCCTAAGGCGCTATGCGAGCACTAACAGACCCACCGGCCGAGATGTGCTGGTGCCGCCTTGTGCGCCTTGGCGCGCTGCAGCTGCGCCAAGCGCTTCTTGTCCGCACTCTCGAAAGTGCCTCGGGGTCTAAGGTTCTTTTGAAGGGAACTATGATAAAAACTCTTACCGGTCCCTTAAAGGGAGCCCTGTTGTGGTAACCCTTACAGGGCCCTTTGTAGAAGTCTTAAAGGAAGCCCTTTGAACCCGTTGGGGGAACTCTTGCAGGAGCTCTGTGAAAGGAACCCAGGAAGCATGAAAGGAACCTTCTTAGAACCCTTAATAGGGAAACCCCCGACGCCCCAAAAAGCGTGACCTCTACACTAAACCCTGAACCCTAAACCCTCAAAGTAACACTTAACCCCTACAACTCCTAACGTGGGTGCCTTAATCATTAGAACTGTGTTTGCGGGTATGTTACTTGGAGGTTCATAGGTAGTTATAAGTAGTGTTATAAATCCCCTGATATTGGTTATAACTATGGATTACCCTACTTCTAAGCCCACTTATAAGTAACTAACCATGAACCTCCAAGTATACCGTAATTACAACCTACTCGTCGGGTATCCTGAGCAACTAAAGGTTAACTTTTTTGGTTATATAAGGATTATATAGGGACTATACTACCCAAGAAAGGTTAAAGGTTACCTACTCTACTACTAGGCAGTATAGTAGGTATTTTGGCACTCAAAGCATCTACTGTACCATTACTGGGACCCTTGTTTTCAGAAAGTAAGAGTACCCTCTATAGGGTCCTTGTGAAGAGTCAGTGAAGAGGATCTGAGTATCTCGGGCGTATAAGGTTGCCTAACGGCTTCAGGGTCTAAAGTCTACCTCCTCCTACTACTAATCATAAGGAGCTCTTCGGATGATTTTGGAAATTACTTATTCAGGCTTCTAGCCCTAACCCCTAGGTGCCTTAACGATTAGAATAGTGTTTTGGGGTATGTTTTACCATATAGGTAGAATTATAGGAACCCTAAGGACTGTGTTGTAAATTGCTTGTTTAGGCTTCTAGACTAAGCTTATCAAACCCGGTTTCTTATGGATCCCTTTAAAGGAACCCTTACTTGGAGGGTCGGGGGACTTAGTAAGTAGGTAATAAGTAGACTTATAAGTACCCTAACAGGGATCCTAATTGGGGTTATGATACTTCTAAGTCTATAAAAATAACTACTTACTAAGTCCCCTGCTTATCAAACCCGGTTCCATAGAGATCCCTTTAAAGGAACCCTTATAGAACCCTTTTAAGGAACCCTTATAGATCCCTTTAAAGGAACCCTTATAGATCCAGTAAATGCGGTTCAGCCCGGCACTGGTTCCCGAGATGGCTGTCTTGACGGATGCCACCTGCAGGGCGCGGCTTTGTTTTAGTGTTTTAGGGTTTTAGAGTTTAAGGGTTTAGGGTTTTAGAGTTGAAGGGTTTAGGGGTTTAGGGTTTTAGGGTTTAGGGTTTGGGGCTTAGGGTTTCCCAAAGGGTCCAAAGTACCTATATGGTAGAATGTAGGGTTTCTATTTTCGGAATTGCTATTCTGATTTGGGCAAGTATCCCCCATAGCAGTACCTAGGACCCTTAGGGATTGGGGCTTAGGGTTTAGGGTTTGGTCTTTGGGTAATCTGTTGGGTTTGGAAGCAGAGTTTAGGGTTTAGGGATCTGGCTCGGGACTTCGCGTCTGGAGTTTTGGGTTGAGGGTTGCTGGCGTATTTTTCAAAGGGGAAAAGGAGGGACCCTTAATGGGGACCCCTACCCCATAATGGGCTTTTTGATGGGTATATAATGGCTATATTATGGGTCGGGTATATACCTAGGGGTCCTTATTAGGGGTCCCTCCTATTACCCTTTGTATTTTGTTCAGTCCGGGTTGCGTAGGTATAAGTGGCTGTAGGGTCATGTTGGATTCTTGTAGGTTTTGTAAATCCACACTGTTCTCAGGGTCACGATGGGTGTCTGCTAGATGCTCACATCACATGGTCGCGATCGGCTTAAACGCTGTTCCAGTTACAGTCTGTCGAAAGGCATAGTCGTCACAAGGTAGGAAGAAGGCTTCCGTAGTAATGCCGTGTCATGTAACACAGTCGGAAGAGGTTTTAGGATATTAGCAGGGCGTGGGGTTGGCAATTAGACGAGGGCTTACGGTTTATAAGGCTTCATGGAGACTGCTTGTCAACTCACCCCGCCCTGTGCTACCATCACCCTAAACCCTGAGCCCCAAACCCTAAATGGTAGGGATCCAAGTTTTCCAGGGCCGCTCATGAATCACTATACCCAAAACCCTTTACGTGAAGGTTCAGGGAGCCTCAGAGCCAAGAGAAGCCGTTACCAAATCCACCAAAAGTTCGGTATGTGCCTTACCTGGAGATCTATAGGGGCTCCTTTAAGGGTTCCTACAAGCGATCTGCAGGGTTTGGGGTTTTAGGGTTTGGGGCTTACCTGGGGATCCGAAAACCTGCCGCTAGCACAAGAATTAATATGTTCAAAAGAAGCTGAGCTTATACCATATCCTCCGAAGAGCAGCATGTTTGTAGCCAGGGAAACCATGAAGTCTGTGCTAACGTTTGTAGGACCCCTTCCAGACAAGCAGGCTAAGGTACCTTAACTTAGGAAATGTCCGTCAGACAAGCTGAAACGAACCCACACACCCTAAATCCCAAACCCCTAAACCCCCAACCCCCTGTATCCTAAACCCTAGACAAGGAGGAAGCCTACAACCCGAGAGCCTCATAACCCTAAACCCTGACCCCTAATCCCCTAACTCCTAAACCCTGAACCTTAATCCCTAAACACTGATCACTAATCATGGTTCTGAGCCAGTTCTGGAGAGGTCTTTCGTAGGCGCTGTAAAGTCGTGGCGTTCGAGTTGCCCGCCGGAGGACTACAGGGCTTTTTCACGGTTTAGGGTTCAGGGTTTGGGGTTTAACGGTACCCACTGGCCCAAAACCCAAGGGAACAAAAATGAAATTTTCGAATCGACTACCTTCTGAGAACCCCAAAGGTTGAAAAGCTTAGTTTACAGATGATAAGAATAGTGCATGCTCACCATGTAGGTTCCTGAATAACAACATTGGCGGGGGTATGTCATACCATTATTATAATGAGGAGCCCCCTACGGAATGGTATTGGTAACTATGTGGGCTTTTATTTTACCTGCTTCACAAACTTCTGCCTGCTCTTTCAGGAGGTTGTTGTCAGCAGCACGTTCCTGGCTTCAGTGCGAGCACTTTAGAGAATCTCGGATCAGACCAACCCGTAGTGGGGTCTGGGGCCCTTGAACTACTCCAAAAGAATCGGTGGCAGTGCTGAGTGCCTTTATAGAAACCAAACAACAAATGCAAAGATGCGGTGTTTTTGTGTGGCCAATGACTACAGACACCTCGCAAGCCCAAACCCCTGAACAGCTGAGACTGCATGAACAATAAAACTGAAACCTTAGACTCTTAGACCTTAAAGCGATTAAGGGCTCACGTCACAGCATCTCACATTCTTAGGCCTGTACATCGTCGTGTGTCTACGGCGTTTGACTGACGGCTAATGCCGGATATATCAAATTCTCGGCCATACCGCTCAGTGTTTCGGATTTTGTGGATTTGGAGCTCAGCTTGAGGCCAGGCCTGGTAGGAACCGAATCCTGGAGCCTTCACATCCGATAAAAGCACCCTGAAACCCTCAAATGACAAGAAGATGAGATACGTACACAAGACTTGAATATGACCAGAAACTTCAAGAAGTAACCAATATACTCCTGATCATACCGCAGACCCCTTCCGGATTCAATCAATGACTTGAGGGATATTGGACTCTCCAGATGTAGATGGAAGCTGGAATTCTAGCATTCCTTGCGGGAAGTCCTCTGAAATTTGGGGATTGAGCCAAAGCTTCAACCACCTTAATCCCGCAGTGAGCTTGCAGTGAGGATAACATGATATCTTAGCCTGCTCCTATCAGTCTTGTTACTAGGTCTGGGTTGCATAACGGAGAAAGGTGGTGGTAGTAGTAGTAGTAGTAGTAGTAGTAGTAGTAGTAGTAGTAGTAGTAGTAGTAGTAGTAGTAGTAGTAGTAATAATAGTAGCAGTAGTAGTAGTAGTAGTAGTAGTAGTAGTAGTAGTAGTAGTAGTAGTAGTAGTAGTAGTAGTAGTAGTAGTAGTAGGAGTAATTAGTAGTAGTAGTAGTAGTAGTAGTAGTAGTAGTAGTAGTAGTAGTAGTAGTAGTAGTAGTAGTAGTAGTAGTAGTAGTAGTCTGCTACCATCTATGGCTGAGAATAATTCAGCGCCTGCACTTCAGGATGCACACTATGCCAGCATAATTTTGACTGCTTGAGTGCTTTGTTCTAGCGTGGTCTAGCTTCAAGCCTTTAGGATCCTTGGCCTTACTGTGAATCAAGACCCGGGCAAAAAATGCGAGGAGAACACAACCCATTGCTTGAATGTACTTACTGTGTATTTAATTGAAAGCTCGCTCAACGTCAGAAGGCTTCATTTTGTCGGCTCTCTCGGCTGGGAGTTCGCAAGTCTGCAACTGTTCCCGCACAGCACTGATGTCACCAACATGATCCTTATTTCCCCAGGTCACAATCGATCCATCGCCAAGAATGGCAGCAAATGCACGCTCGGAAGCTTGGATCTGCTTCACATTCTTCAGCTGGTCCTGCACGGAAGTACTGTTGCCGCCACAATCAGTCCGACCCCAGGTCACGACCGATCCGTCGCCAAGAATGGCAGCAAAAGCGGACTTGGAGGCTTGGATCCCCAGCACGTTCTTCAGCTGATCCTGCACAGCACTACTGTCGCCACCACCGTCGGCGTCACCCCAGGTCACGACGGATCAATCGCAAAAGCATCCTCGGAGCCTTGGATCTGCTGAACATTCTTCAGCTGATGCCGCACAGAACTGCTGTCACCGCCGCGGAAAGCATTGCCCCAGGTCACGACAGACCCATCAACAAGAATAGCAGCAAAAGCTTCCTCAGAGGCTTGGATCTGCTGCACATTTTTCAGCAGATCCTGCACAGAACCACTGTCACCGCCCATTCTCGCCTGACCCCAGGTCACGACCGATCCATCGCCGAGAATGGCAGCAAAAGCATCGAAATTGCCTTGGATCTGCTGCACGTTCTTCAGCTGATGCTGCACAGCACTGCTGTCCGCAGCGTCTCCTGCATTACCCCATGTCACGACGGAGCCGTCACCAAGAATGGCAGCACAACTGCAAAGAGAGACCGGGATCTGCAGCACATTCTGCAGCTGATGCTGCACAGCACTACTGTTGCCACCGTCGTCAGCATCACCCCAGCTCACGACCGTTCCGTCAGCAAGAATGGCCGCAAAAGCGGTACCAGTGGCTTGGATCTGCATCACATTCCTCAGCTGGTCCTGCACTGCACTACTGTCACCACCAAACTCAACTCGGCCCCAGGTGACGACAGATCCATCGCTCCGAATGGCAGCAAAAGCTTGCTCAGAGGCTTGGATCTGCTCCACATTCTTCAGCTGATCCTGCACCGCACTACTGTCACCGCCCATTGAAGCGTGACCCCAGGTCACGACAGAGCCATCGCCGAGAATAGCAGCAAAAGCACGAACAGAGGCTTGGATCTGCCGCACGTTCTTCAAGCGATGCTGCATAGCACTGCTGTCGCCCCCATAGTCAGCGCGACCCCAGGTCACGACTGATGCATCTCCAAGAATGGCAGCAAAAGCAGCATCCGTGGATTGAATTTGAAGTCTGGATATATGTAAGGTCAGTGAATCGCCATTCTGAAGCTTGGCAGCCTCGACTGTTGAACATGGATCTAAAACGCTCCCAGATAAGTCCAGCAGCCGCCCTTTCCCGACTCCAAGCGCTGCCTGCGCTCGAAGCTTCAATTGTCCCACTTGTTCAGCCTGGCCTGCTTCTATAGTAACCGTCCTTCCGCTGAGAAGTGAGACTTCCACATTCACGGACATTCCCATGGGGTCCAAAGCACCTATAAGAAAGAATGTCGGGTTTCTATATTAGGAAATACTATCATGATTTGGGGAAGTATCCCGCATAACAATACCTAGGACCCTTTGGGTCATTGTCAACAAAGATGCTATCCTGGGAGTCTCTAACTCTGGCACGGGGCTATAGCGCACAGAAGGGTTCGGGCTTTTGGCTGTGCCTGGGGATCCGAAACCGACAGTTGCAAGGGTTATATCCTATAACTAAGGGGTCATAATTGGTGCTAGGGGAGCTGATGTTGACTGTTGTGACTTGTTGCTCACTTTATCTAAGGTGGTACTTCCCACTTCAAAAAGCAGCTGCAAGCCACTCCTCGACGCAATCAGAAACGGTCATGATGGTCTTCTGCGAAAACCACTCAAGCCACGCCACTACAAGCAATACCCACAAGTCTGGAACAGTCAGTAACAAGGGTCACAGGCACAGATTGTGACAGTACCAGCAGGAACCATAATTGCATGGTTAAAAAGAACGACACTGCATACTCAGCCCTTGATTAACCCCAAACCCAAAACCCTGAACCTCTAAACCCTAAACCCCTAAACCCTACGTGCGCATACATGCTTGCCTCCGCCTCCTTGTCTGCCTCCCGTATGACCTGCCCGGCCATGCAGCGGCAGGGTCAAACCAGCCAAATACTAAAGGCGCCTTAATAAGTAGAATAGGGTTTCGGGGCCCATTAGACTATAATTATAACAAGGAACCCCCGAAATAGTTTTGGTAATTATTTAAGCCACTATATTACGTGCTTTTAGGTTTAGGCTTCAGGGCTTTCTGTCGTTTTGTGCTGCGCGGGGCTGTGGGTAGGATCCGGGACTCGATTAAGTAAAAGCCAAAAAAGAGGGTGCAATCCTAAACCCAAACACCTGAGATACTCTAGGGGCCTTAATAATTATCAATACTATTCTGGGGATCCCTTATTATAATGGGCCCCCAAAACCTATTCTAATTATTGAGACTCCTATGTTAGACCTGCGCAGGTTGGGTGCCAGATTGTTTGAAGTCTGCTCTGCAGATCTCCAGCTACACGAAGAAGGGGTTAGAGAAGAGCGCGCAGTTTCTGAAACTGGGAATCGGGTAAAGGGCCAGGGAGTTTTGTGACTTCGAAAAGCCATTCAATACCCACCACCCACCCTTAGCAACTTAGGGGAACTAAATGTTGACCGTATTATAAGGCTTCCAGTACCCCAAAAAGGTTAAAGGTTAGCGACTCTACAACCAAGTAGAGTCTGATTCAGTGTCCCAAAACAAAACCATTAGGCCCGGATTCGGAAAGCCAGAATCATGACCCCAGGGTTCAGGGGTTACGCCGCTTTAGGCCCCCAGACCTAGATTGCAACTCGGCGTGGTCGAGAGCCAAAGAACAGTGAATGCCTCGACACTGAAGCCCTACAGCTCTTGAAGCCAACACCCTTATAAAGCCCTGACCCAATTAAAAACAGGCTAACACCCAGAACGCCAAAGGCTTAAAGCTCCAAGCTCTAAGCCCGTAATCCCTAAACCACACACCCCTAACTTGCCCTACAGTTAGCCTGATCCTGAAAACCCCAAAGGCCCGAAAGCCCTAAACTCTAGATAAGGTCCAATCACGAGCCCTGAATCCCAAACCCTAAACTCTTAAACCCTAGACCCTAAACCCCTAAGCCCTAAACCCCCATACTTCAAACCCTAAACCCCTAAACCCTCAGACCATCCCAGACCCAGGGCGCAACCCGAACCCCGCCTCTTCCAAACGGCGCCCCGCTGAGAGCCAGAATCTCGGCATTCGGATGGCTTCCGAGTTTAGGGTTTAGGGTTCTCTAACCCTAAGCTCAAAATAGCCCAAAAACCTTATACAGTATGGTCTTTGGGCCCAAAAGCCTTGCAATCCTTGGGCTAGCCAAGACCAGCCGCAACATGATCTCGTGCTCTGGAGATAGAGACTGTATACGGTAGCTTCTGCCTGCTGCGTGCCTTGGAAGTATTGCATTCCTGTAAGGTGCGGGCGCAGCCATCCTGGTCGGTGTCCGTGTTGGTGGAAGGCTTCACGAGCTGAAGGTTTCCGACAGCAAACGCCTTCTGAGTCAAGCCACCACGATGGTCGCAGCATTCACCTTCCGGAAGTTCAGCTGCCTCAACGAGACTCAGCCGCTCACATTCTACTCCACGGTTGAGAAAGCGATCAACCAAAGCGTAAGATTGGAGGTGAGGAAGCTTTGCGGACGGCTCACGGACCCTGCAAAGGTGAAGGCCAGGGACTTCGAAAAGGCAACAAAAGACACGGGCGAAGTCTTGCCCCTTCTCGAGTCAAGGGACTTCGTGCCTCGTTTATGCTGGGCTCATGCTTGATTGTTTCGGTTCTATTCTATAGACTATAGACCTGTTTGTCTCTGACTTGCGCTGCCGCTTGCCTAGTCTCCCTTCTCCGTCTGTGCTTCTAGATTTTATTGGAGCTCATCCTGGACTTTGGATGGTGTAGGGTTTGATTTGGGGTTCTTGGGGGCTTCTAGCCTCAGGATTTGTCTGGCTTCGGGATTTGAGGCATTAGGGTTTCAGAGATGCGGCGCTCTCCAGCGGTCGTTGTCGGGCTACCCTGCGGTGTGCACAAAAAATCTTAACCCTGAAGTGTCGGGTCCCTGGAGGCACTGCTTGTATTCTTAAGGCTTCGTTGTAGGGCTTCGGGTGCTTTCGGGTTCAGGGTTTAGTGTCCCGAAGCGAACCCAGACCCTAAATCCGAACTGTAATTTAACTGAAATTTCGGACGCCAGAACAAGGCTGTTTGTGTTGAGTACTTTTAAAATCCCATGCAAGAATAAAGATCCTTCATTGTCGAGTTTAAGACTTGTTAAGGACGTAAGGTTGAAGACACAAAGGATTGGGCTATAGTGCATAGTGCCAACAGGTGCCAAAGGTCTAAGGCCTTTGTTGCACCTGTTGTTGTAAGAAAACCCCAGAAGATTATTTCTTGCGCATAATGGAAATCCTGCCAGGCCTATCTAAACCTCGCCCTAAACCCCCATGGGCCCGCAAAACCCCGAACACCGGCCCTGAGCCCATTCTTCTTCGGAGAAAAGTGGAATCTCTTGTGCTTGCCCCTTACAGGAACCCTCTAGGCTATAGTCTATACGGGTCCCTTTAAGGGCTTCTTTTCAGGGGTTCCGCTCTACAAAACCCTGTAGAACCATATATAAGGCCTTTGTACTACTCCTGTTCATAGAGGCCTTTGTCGGACCGCTCAAGAGAACTACCAGGACCGTCTCGAAGACACTGTGAAACACCTAAGCTCCTGAACCGGTGCCCCTTCCCTGAGGGTCCAAGTACCCAAATAGTAAGGTTTCAAGGTCCAAAAACCATTCAGAGTATGGATTTTGGGACCTAAAACCCTACTATTTGGGACTTGGACCCTCTGGGCTTAAGTCTCCTTCGGAGATACTTTGGAGCCCCAGCGCGTTTGGTCGGAGCTCGACGGCTGGAGCTTGGGCGACCTTTGGTTTTTTATAAGTGGAGGTTCATGAGACTTAGTACATACAACTAAGTACCTTACTTGGGGCTACAAGTACTTACAAGTATAGTTACCTCCAAGTAGAGTAGCAGAGTTTAAAGGGTTAGGGCTTTAGGGTTGTTTAAAGGATTGAGGTGTAGGGTTTAACTGGTCTGGGCTCACAGAGGTTTCAGGTTCGAAATTTCTGAGAACTGTCTTAGATTAGGGTTAGCGTGTTGTTGATGGGATTATTAGGCTTTGTTTGGCCGGTCATGAAATGTCTATGGCGCTTCCACATTTTATTTTTTCGCGTATATTGCACTGCTACTGCTACTGCCGACGACGACTACTACTACAACCACTACAACTACGATGTGAGCTGTTTTCATAAGTTCACAAATTTTGTACTCGCTCAGATGTTGACATTGATGCGCAAGAGGCGCAAGAGAACAGCAAGCACCAATCATGAAGATCAATCTCGAAAGTCCAGTACTGCTATATTCATAGTCTTGCCAGTGAACTAGTGAAATAAGGAGCCTGCATAATTGGAACGGCGATTTGCGCTCCAATTCTTGTTATATTAAGAGGTCCCAAGGAATAATAAATTCCAGGCCTCTATACAACGTATATGACCCGGCAAACTCACCGTGATGTTTCAGAGTCGTCGAGCTACGGGCGTATACCTCATGTAGAAACCTTACCCTACTTGGAGGGGCAGGGGACTTAGTAAGTCGTTTATAAGTAGGGTTATAATTGGGTAGGGGTAACTCTACTTATAACCTACTTACTAAGTGCCCTGCCCCTCCAAGTAATGCTCCTGGACCCTCGATCGTAACATCCCCAACCTTTAGTCCCGAAAGCCCAAACCCTCCCCCAGCAAGCCCATGATCCCTTTAGGAGCCTCAACTAGGATACCCAGTAACCTAAGAATAAAAAGGCCTTTTTTTTTGGGTATTGGGTAACTTTATAAGGAACCTAGGACTACAAAAAGGGAAGAAGGGTACTACCGGGCATCCTAGTTAAGGCGCCTCAAGGAGCCTCTGCTGGACCCTGCAGCCGGCTCGGCGCACGAAGCGGGGAGCGGCTACGCCTATGGTCGTATACCTGCTCCTCCACACTAGTCTGGTCTCGTGGTTGGCAGCCTGATGCCCACCAAACCCTTGCAGGTGCTGTAGCTGACACACCGACGACTCCAAAGTCGCGATGCGTGAGAGCGCAACGTGCAACTGGAAGGCCAGCTCTGGGTTCGACTGGCCCGGCATCGGCGTAGGTTATTCAGGGTTAAGGTACAGTTTAGGGTTGAAGGTTTAGGGCCCCACTTGGAGGGGCAGGGGACTTAGTAAGTAGGTTATAAGTAGAGTTATAAGTACCCTAAATGGAGTTACCCCAATTATAACCCTACTTATAAACGACTTACTAAGTCCCTGCCCCTCCAAGCAGGGACTTACTAAGTCCCTGCCCCTCCAAGCAGGGTTCCCATGAAGGGAGCTCTTCAAGGCGCTTTCTTAGGGTAAAGATTGGAACAGGTTGTTGGAGCTTTGGGTGTGATTTTTTGCAGCATACTGGTATAGGGACTATTGAGACCCAGAGGGTCCTAAGTTGAAAGTATCTACATGCTAGTGAGCCGGGTTTCTAGAGGAGGAATTAATCTTATGGTTTGGGCAAATATCCCCCAAATAGGTATTTAGGACCCTTTGGCAGAGATCCTGTTTCTCGTTTTCAGAACCCATAGCTGCTCGCCTAAAGCACCGCAGCCAGAGCAACCAGAACCCAGATGCTCCAAAAGCCTTTACACTTAATCAAGGAATATACCTATTCTGACTTGAGGCATATCCCTTAACTAGGGAACATACGTATCCTTCATTGATATACAACCCCGCATTAAGCAATATTCCCTAAACCCTAAACCCTCAACCCTATACCTAACCTGATTGCAGGTAAGTGTTCCAAGAAGGTCCACATACACTACTATTATGGAATTAGGTCTCCAAAACCATAATGGGGATGGTCTTTCCGGGCCTAATTCCATAAGAGTAGTGTATATGGACCCTCTGGGATTCTTGAAGAGTGGGACATTGGAAGATTTGGGAAATCTAAAACATCCAAGGCCGACCTGCACCGTGCTAGAGGGGCCTTAACAATTGGAATAGGGCTCCTTTAAAAGGCCCTTGAAAGGGCTCTATAGGGAATACCTTAGAAGCTGCCCCCACCCTGTAATAGTGACTAGAAGGATTATATTAGGACCTATTATATTCCTATGATATTACTATTACAGGGTGGGGGGCCCCTCCTAAGGAATACCAATAAAGGTTCTATGGTGTAGGGGCCTTAAAAAATCGAATATGATCTTGGGGCAGGTTATACCTGAACGAAAACGCGGAACCCTCGGAATGGTATTGGTTAAAAGCTGCCCCCACCCTGTAATAGTGACTATAAGGATTATACTAATATTATATTAGGGCCCTATTATATTCCTATTATACCACTATAACAGGGTGGGGGCAGCTTCTAGAGTATTGGCAGTATTGGTCCCTATATTATGCGCAAAAACCCGCACCATCCTCAAGCCATGAAGCACAAAACCCAAAACACCAAGCCCTAAACCCCAAACTTGCCCTACAGTTAACCTAAATCGTAAAACCCCCCAAAACGCCCTAAACCCCCTTGTAGAGCCTCTTCTTCAATCCTTACAACTTTTGGGGAAATCCTGTCGGAACCGTCAAAAAGTAACCCAATCCCCAAAAACTGCTTGATCCCCTGAGCCCCTGCACCTCTACCCGACCCATAGGCTCCATAATAGTTCCTTTTTGGGATTCCCTTATAGGATTCTACATATGAATTCCAAAAAAGGAACTACTATGGAGCCCCTATACCCTAAACCCCGAAACCCGTAAACCCAAAACCTCGAAACCCCTAAATCCCTAAACCCTGAATCCCGAAACCCTAAACCCCAAAGCCCTAAATCCCTAAAACCCTGAATCCCGAAACCCTAAACCCTTAAGCCCTAAATCCCTAAACCCCTAAATCCCTAAACCCCTAAATCCCTAAACCCTAAATTCCTAAACCCCTAAACCCCCAAACTCGAAGCAGCCCACCTGGTCCTGGAGCTCGCGTTCTCGCTTGCGCACCTCATCCCTCACAGAGTCCACCTCGGTCTACGGGTTGCCCCAAGCCCTTTCTATTCCTTTAAAGGGTTCCTTTAAGGGCTACTGTAAGGGTAATTACTATATGGGCTTTAGGTAAAAGTAATTAGTAACGATTTAGTTTCTGAGTTCATAAGCACCAAAAAGAATACACTTTTCGTTTTATAGTAATATTATGGCCAAAAAGTGTAAAGTGTGTTCACTCAGCTACTAAACTAATAGGTTCCTTTCGGGAATTCAAGTTTAGGGTTCTACGAGGGTATAACTACGGGCTTTAGGATGCTTTTGGGGTGTTCTTTTAGGGGTTCACGTTTAGCTAGGGTTCTGTAAGAGCTTTGGGTGTAGAAAGGTTGTATTGGGCTTGCTGAGGTTCATTTGAGGCTTTCTCTGCGGCAAGGGTTTCACGCCATAGGTTCAGTGCTTTGGAGTTCCAGGCATCAAGGGAGCTGAGTGGCTGGGCTCCGTGTCGCTGCGATGGAAGACTGGGCGCCAAGTTGAAGCCCAGAGCGTCTCCTTCTGTGTCTAATTAGGACAGCAGCAGCCAGAGGTATCGGCACTAGGACACGGCTCAAAGCTTCGCAGTGGCTGCCAGGTGATCGGCCAAATCTTCGGATTGCTGTTTCATATCCGCTGGCCTCGGGTGCACTAAGTACGATACATGTGCTTGAGTACGCATGCCCAACTCAATCAACAAAAAGCCTAGCGCCAGCAATTGCATGTGCAGAAAGCACATGCAATCAGCCACGTGGGCCGCGAGTGCTGGAGCTGGACGTCCGTAGCACGACATCTCTACAACTTGCAATGATGACATGACGACTCACTGTCGGCGTCTCTGTCCACACATCTGAGACTGAAGCAAACCCACACCCTAACCCTAAACCCCAAACCCTAAAACCCCAAACCCCAAAGCCCAAAACCCTAAATCCTAAATCCTAAAACCCTAAACCCTAAAGCCTAAAGCCTAAAGCCCTAAAGCCTAAACCCTAAACCCCAAACCCTAAAACCCCAAAGCCCGAATCCCTGGTCCCTGTGCCGGCTCTTGGCTCCAGGAGATGAAGGGATCTATAAGTGTATACGGAAGGTTCCTTAGGGGGTTCCTTTAAAGGGATCCTGAAAGGGTTCTATAAGGGATCTATAATAGGGTGCTATATTCTATACGGGGGGGGGGTGTCAAGATCAGGGCCCAATTTTTTGGGTCCCTATTATAATACGGCACCTAATATTTAGAGTACCCAAAAAGGGTCCCTAATTTTGACAACCGCCCATAAGTCTATACGGGATCTATAAGGTTCAGGGTTTAGGATACCCAGAGACTCCAACATCCCTGAATTGAGGAATGTATCTTGGAGGTATTGCTGTAAGGACTTCGCGGGATAGGGCAACGACCCACGTTCAGGATCTGTGAAGTGACTTGACCTTATACCCTTACAGAACCCTAACAGAAACCCTTAAAAGCAACCCCTACGGTTTAAGACCTGTCTGAACCTTTGGGGGGTTCGGGCTCAAGCTCTACCAAAGGGGGTTGCAGTAAGTAGAAGGGTCCTTTTCCGGGCTATATTCGATCTCTCTATGTCTATCTCTCTCCCTATCTATCTATACCTACCTATCTATCTATCTACCGATCTATCTATCTATCTGCCTACCTGTCTATCTATCTATCTTGCAGGGTTCACCGGTCTTTGGAATGTTACCAGTCTGCAGCATAGGGACCCTCCCTCTTGGAACGTTGGTATGACAAGAGCACCTTGTGGGAAACTCTCCAAGAAAACCTTGAAGGGCATAATGTAGGGGTGTATTATACAAGACTTATAATAAGGAACCCCAAAATAGTATGCAGTATAGGTAATTAGTAAGACCCCTATATTTGGGTTTCGCTTTTAGGAGTTTGTACAAAACGCCTCTGCCCAACTTCTCTATACTGAACTTAGAACCCTAGCAACAATCATAATTTTAGCTGTTTCTTAGGGATTATAATAACCAAAAATTATACATTATGTCTAAGTACCCCTAACCCAGAGGGTCCAAGTACCCAAATAGTAGGGTTTCAGGTCCCAAAATCCATACTCTGAATGGTTTTTGGACCTTGAAGCCCTACTATTTGGGTACTTGGACCCTAAACCCTAAACCCTAAACCCTAAGTACCCCTAAGTTCTCAGTGGCCCACCTGGCTCTTCCAGGACTCTGGGGCCTTGGCACTCCTTCCGCAGAGGGTGCAAAGCCAGACCCCCGGGAGGATCCCTTAATGGGGGTTCCTACTTGGAGGGGCTCCTTAAAGGGATCTATAGGGTTCCTTAAAGGGATCTATAGGGTTCCTTAAAGGGATCTATGGGGTTTAGGGTTTAGGGTCTACTTGGAGGGGCAGGGGACTTAGTAAGTCGTTTATAAGTAGGGTTATAATTGGGGTAACTCCATTTAGGGTACTTATAACTCTACTTATAACCTACTTACTAAGTCCCCTGCCCCTCCAAGTATAAGGGTGAGTTTAAGGGTCCCTTTAAGGGATCTATAGGGTTTGAGGGTTTAGGGCTTAGATGAGGATCCAAAGAGTAAATCCCTCAATGGGGGTTCCTGCAAAGTACCCTTAGTAGCATAGGGCCCGATCTACTTTCTAGATCCTTCCGCGGAGGGTGCAAATCTGGCAAAAGTTCGCAAGTGCAGAACAAAGGCGACTGTAGGATTTACTTGGAGGTTCATGGGAAACTGGGGTTGTAAGTTCTTGTAAGTGTAGTTACCCTAGTTATAACCCTAGTTACTACGTCCCATGATCCTCCATGTAGGGTTAGATGTCGAGAGTTTTAGAGTCTACAGTCTACCTTCAACAAGGCCTAAGTCCCTCCTGGACCCCAAGACACCTAGATTTTTTCAGGACTTATGTAAGCAAATCATCAGTCTCAGCCCGAAGCCGGCACACTCCCAAGCGTCCTTTGGAGGTTTACTAGGGTTCGTTTAAAGGGATCTATAAGGGTTACTATAAGGGATCTTATAAGGGTACTATTTATAATGTAGGAACCTGCTTAAGAAACCTTGGGCCTTGTATTAGGGTTCCTTTATATGAATCCTATTTTTTTGGGGTTATAGGCCCAGGGTTTCTTAATCAGGTTCCTACATTAGGACTTAGTTAGCAAGTCTCTACGGCTAGAAGTACCTTACTAAGTCCCATGATCTTTACGCCCTGAACCCCCGTAGATCCCTCTAGAACCGCTTAAGGAATCCTTGCATGCGAGCCTCGTGGTATCCACAGCTTGGACCACCGATGAGTAAGGATTGAATCCTCGGTGCGGCAGCTTTCTCAGCTTAGCCTTCAGGCTGAGACCTCGAGACCCTCCCCTAATATAGGGGCCGAAACAATTAACTATACTGTTTTGGGGCTCCTTACTACAAGTATAATGTAATATATAGCCCAAAACCCTCTAGACCCGGAGACTCCAATATCCCTTAATTATATTCCGTAATTAAGGGATATTGGAGTCTCTGGGGACCCTAAGCGGCAAACCCCTAAACCCTAAACCCTGGCTTAAAGCCGACCATATACCCTCAAGCCACCCTCCTTGTCACTTCCAGCTGGGAAACAAAGCGCTGAGGCTAGGTTTAGGATTTGGGGTTTAGGGCTGTAACAAATAATAGTGGCTCAACAGTTGCCAACATCATTTCTGAGGGTTCCTTCTTGATCTCATCATGGTACAAATCAATAAGATCTAATCCCAAGCCCTATTCTAACCACTAAGGCCGCAATTCTTATACTAAACCCCGATCATATCCCAGAGACCTTTTGCAGAACCGTATTCCAATCTATTCACCTAGGCCCTTATTTGTCCCAGATCCTGAGGGCGAAACCACTTCCGGGCATCGGAGGAGGCGTTAATCCGGCCTGACAAGCACCCGCGGCCGGTTCGGTACGGGGTTTAGGGTTTAGGGCTTCGGGTTTAGGGCTTCAGGTTTAGGGCTTTGGGTTTAGGTTTATAGGGCTTTGGGTTTAGGGTTTAGGGCTCTGTATGAGGAGTACTTCTAGTCCTACTAGTATCTACTAGTACTACTGGTAGTACTCGTGCTAGTCGTGAACGTGCTAGTAGTGGCACTCGTAGTGGTGGCAAGATAAGTCGAGTGCTAGTATTACGACGACTCCGACGACGATTGCTGCTATAGAGCGTCTGCTGCTGCTTCTTCTGCTCTTCTTCTACATCGAAAACACCACCGATTCTTCTTCTTCTGTCCAGCCCGTTGCACCTGCAACAAGCGACCTCCAAACTCTCGTTCATAGTCTTGTCTGCTGTGCGATTTAGGGCTTAGGGCTTTAAGCTTGAAGCTCCGTGGGGCGAGGGGGTTTGTTTTTTAGACTGCGCGGGTCGATGGGCCAGTACACCCTATAAGTCCCAAAGCTTAGTGCTTGGGGTTACCCAGAGGCCCCAAAGTAGTTCCTTTTTGGGATTTCCCTATAGGATTCTATATACGAACCCCAAAAAGGAACTACTTTGGGGCCTTTGGGTAGCTCGGAGGCCTCACAAGGTGGGATGAAGGTAGGTAGGATTAAGGATCCCCCATGTAAGGACTCTTATTTGGGAATATCCCACCTGCCGTCATCCTACCTTTTGAGGCCACCGACTAGCTGCTCACTACGAACCTTAACGCTGCAGGCTCAGAGGCACAGAGCAGACGTACTCCACGGGTCGGGCCCAGGTCAAAGATCCCCCAAAGGCTCCTTTAAGGGTTCCTTTAAGGGTTTTATTAAAGGGGTTCTATAAGGGTTCTATAGGGTTTAGGGTATTAAGGGTCCATGGTAACATTATAGTAGATACTTAGGCCTTAAAGGGGTCCCTATAGGTACTTTAAGGCCTAAGTATATACTATATGGGTACATGGAGCCTTAGGATCCTACATCCCAAGCTTCCCTGAACCTTGCTTCCATGTAGCATCGCCCAACATAGGGGCCTTGATAATTAGAATAGGGTTTTGGGTCCCATTCTACCGTAGTCATAATAAGCAACCCCCCAAAAATATAGTATTGGTAAGTATTTAGGCCCCTATATTATTTCCCAAACTTCCCTGAACCTTGTTTCCATGCCCAAAGGGTCCTAGGTATTCTTATGGGGGTACTTCCTCAAATCGTAATGGTAATTCCTAATGTAGAAACCCTGCATTCTGTTATATAGGTACTTTGGACCCTTTGGGTATGTAGGTATGTGGGACCCATTATTGAGGTAAGCCCTAAACCCTAAGTTAAGCCCTAAACCATAAACCTAAACTGCCATGTAGCATCGTCTATAAACCTTAAACCATCAGGCATGAATCTTTATACTCTACTTATAACAAGGAACCCCCAAAATAATCCTGGTAATTATTAAAGCCCCTGTTTTGAACCTTCAACCATCAGCCCTGAACCCTTTTCCCCGCTCCCCCTAAGGGTCCAAGTACCCAAATAGTAGGGTTTTAAGGTCCCAAAACCATTCAAAGTATGGATTTTGGGATCTAAACCCTACTATTTGGGTCCTTGGACCCTCTGGGTCCGCCTGCTGCGCTAGGGCCGTCAGGTTGTGATGGGCATCAGTGAGCCGCAGCGTGTAGGCTATGGGCATGATCAACCTGAGGGTTGAGGGTTCAAGGCTCCTATTAACTATAAAGGGATCTATACACGTTCCTATAAAGGTTCCTCAAAAAAGGAACAATAGGGATTAGGGTTTAGGATTAGGGTTTATGGGGCTTAGGGTTTGGGGATTTAGGGTTTAAAGGGTTGAGGGCATGATCAACATTTGGGTCCCCCATCTCCGGTCTAGGCTGCGGTGCAGGGCTTACATGTGTGAGATTATGTTAATATCCTTGGTTCTTGTCAAGGAATTTTCTAGCTCCCATCATAGGGATATATAGCAAATTATGGTTTGCTTTATTATGGTAACTTAAGTTAAAACTCTTGATAAGAAGCCTGTAACCCTAAGGGTCCATGTACCCATATAGAGATACATGAGCCCCAAAGTACCTATATAGGGACCACATTAAGGCCAATGTATATACTATATGAGTACATGGACCCTTACCTTAACCCCAAATAACCTACCTTTTTAAAGACTTATATAAAGAAATCATATTAGGGAACCCTAAAAAGGTAGGTTCCTTAGGGTCCAGGTATACTATATGAGTACATGGACCCTTATACCCTAAACCCTTATCGAACCCTTATAGATCCCTTAAAGGATCCCTTATGGCACCCTTAAAGGATCCTTAGCTATATGAGTACATGGACCCTTAGGGTAATATCTTCGCAACGGATTAGCTGTCAACTCAGGTGCTCCTCGGACTCCCTGAGGCGTTTCTTCGTCTTTGCATCCGCTTGTCAGCTTACCCAAAGGCTCCATGTACCTTTATAGTAGATACTTAGGCCTTAAAGGGGTCCCTATATAGGTACTTTAGGGTTTAGGGTTTAGGGTATCTAACCAATGGTTTTGGGGTTCGTAGGGATTATCATCACCCCTGGCTCGTTAGCTCCTTCAATATCAATGGTTAGGTATTGTATTGCCCAGCTTGTGGATTGGATTTCAGCTTCGCCAAGTCTTTCTGTGGTGTCGATGGTTTCGGCGGGTCTGAGCCACAAAACCCTGTACTCTCCGATGGAGCCGAAGGGAGAAGGGGTCCGTGTCCTGGCGCCGCGGCCCTCCCCCTCACCCCTGCCCCTCGAGGCAGGACTGTAGGGATATGTGCCCCCACCAGGCCAATGGTGGGTTCCCGCGTCCAGGAGGCTGGTCGTGGACGTGGTGGTCCCAGTACGACCACGAATCGTGGCGATGACGCGATCGGCGCCGCCGGCCGTGGTCAGCCAGGCTTCTCGCCAGCCGTGGTCAGCCCAATCAGGCCGATCACTAAGGACTTCGCAAATCAGGGCCAGTTCCATTCTGTGGTCCCGAGCAATGGTCCCACAACTGCAGAGCAGTTTGCCAAGCGGGTCCAGTGGAGAAAACTCATGGACCTCTTGTGGACTGTTGCTAAACCCTAAGGGTCCATGTACTCATATAGTATACCTGGACCCTAAGGAACCTACCTTTTTAGGGTTCCCTAATATGATTTCTTTATATAAGTCTTTAAAAAGGTAGGTTATTTGGGGTTAAGGTAAGGGTCCTTGTACTCATATAGTATATACATTGGCCTTAATGTGGTCCCAATATAGGTACTTTGGGGCTCATGTATCTCTATATGGGTACATGGACCCTTAGGGAAAGTTTGGGGTCCATAAAGAGCTAGAGGTCAGGGGGGGCTTAGGGTCCTAGACCCAAAACCTTAAGGCTGTAGGGATACGGTTTCCAGAGCATAATGAGGCGGCAATTCTATTTACCTTACAAACGTATGCTATAGGCCGCACGGGAGTTCCGATGTAGTGACTTTGCAACCAAGGTACCCGCTACATGGCTACACCGAGGCTCTAAAATCAAATATCCCCTGAAGAAGGCGTGCCAGAACCCTTGCAGAACCCTTTACAGCCCTAGGTTACATGGTCATGGACCCTGTTTAAGGTTTAGGGTACATGATCATGGGCCCGCTGGGCCTGAAACATCAACAAAGGCAACGAATCCCTCGACAGATGAGTTGCTTGGCCCTAAGAGTCCATGTACCCAAACAGTACAGACTTTGGCCTTAAAGTAGTCCCTATATATAGGTACTTTGGAGGCAACGTATATACTATTTGGGCACATGGACCCTTAGGGTGAAGGAGCAACATCAGTACACCCGAGCTCACCAAGACGCGATCTTCGAAGTATCCCCTGCCCCAAACCCTTACCCTAAGGCTCAAAATGGCCCAAAAGCCTTATAATATATATATATATATATATATATATTCTCCTCAGACCCTAAGGGTTACGCATAAATCTGACCAATGCTTTTCTACGAACTCGTGAAGGCTTGGCTGCATCTGAGGCGGGGACAGGGCATCCTTGCCTTCGTCCTGTGGCAAATGCCATCGCTTATCATGACGAGCTGAAGGTGCATGGACTGTTCTAGCATATCGGGCTTAGAACGCTTTGAAGAATGTAAGCCTTTGAACCTAAAGACTCGTAATTACACCAATCTTCTGAACCACGGGGCATTCCCTTACGGCCTAGGAGCGTTCAAGCCGTCAGGGCTGGGCAAATGCGGCACCACAAGGGTCCCTAAAGGGTCAGCCTACGCGAGTACTACATACTTCGGCTCTAAATAACTGGTATTTGGACTTAGGGTCCTTTTCGGGTTTAGGGCTTAGGGTCTACAGGGATTGATATATATATATATACCCAGAAGGGATCCTCTTGGAATCTAAAGTATATTCCTGTAATGTAGGTATTCGGAAGGTCTTAGCCCTGAAGAACCAATTTGGGGACTACGTTAAGGCGATAGTAGATACCATATACTGATATACTAAACGCCATCTACTACATACTACATATAAACACAGGGGTCCTTAGGGCTTATGGAGGTGTGACACCCTAAGGCTTTGAACGGGTCCAACGAAACGTAACGTCACCCAAATGACCCAAACCTCAAATCACAAACTCTCCGCCCTGAATCCCGCAGCCCTGCACACCCAACTCACTTCAACTCTGTAGCCAACCACTGCAACCAACACCAACTTCGAAGGATAAGCAACGCCATCCGCAACTGTACTGCGCATAACCCCACCATCTGCGAATGAAAATGTAAAAGCCCATGACAGATACCTCCCAGGTCGCATAGGAAACTGCAAAACACAAAGCTGTCTCACTTCCCTCAATACACCTTCAGCAAACATGGAACTATACTGAACTTAGAACCCTAGCAAAAATTATGATCTCAGCTATTTCTTAGGGATTATAATAACCAAAAATTAACAATCATTTCTAAGTACCCCTACACAACCCTAACCTCAGAATTCCACACCCGCAAATTTTTAATCCGGAAGCCGTAACCTTCCAATCCTAAAGCCTAAATCCTGACCCGGAAGCCTTCCTGTGGATCCCAAAACCTCTGTTTTCAGGGTCAGACCCCCTGATTCAGGGATCAGAACCTACTATTTTGTAGGGTTCGGGGATACAGGTAGATCCTAACTAAACCCTCCCTCTCCGGATCATCGCCGTCTCGGAAGCCCGCTGCCCGGAGGAATTCGATCGCAGCCTTGTGCCGACCCACCTGCCCATCAAGGTTTAAGACTACTTGGTAGGGCTGTTTGGGTTTGGGGTTTAGGGTCGAGGCTTGTAGGGATGAGGGTTTTAAAGTCTACCTGCTGTATAGAAGAGTAGGTGCCCGGCCCCAAAAAGGGTTAGGGTATGACCCTATAGGTCGGGTTTTAGGGTCAGGGGTTGGGCAGTGCGGTTCAGGGTTTGGGTTAAAAGTTTAGGGACAAAGGGGTGGCATTTCTGCAGACTGTGTTGTTGAGCATTCGTTTTCTGGAAAGGGAAGGCCTAAGTGCCTCAGCGTGTTGGTTTCAGCATCTAGAGATGCCCCCAAGGGTCTGTGTCACCATATTCTATGCAATTCCACCTATATGTATACATATCTATATATATATATATATACGAATGCATACATACATGTCTACTTTTTCTTTGTACATACACGGGTACGCAAATTTAATTGGAAAGCGCTTAAGGCCAAAGTACATGCCATCTAGATGCAAGAACCTTCCTGGTGTGGTTTTCGCTGGGTGGGCTTGGATTTGGAGTGCCTCTACAAGACCTAAGGGTAACCTAGGAATAAAAAAGGGTGCCCTTTTTGGTTTAAATGGGGTTATAAGAGACAACCTAAACCCCCAAAAAGGGAATAAGGGCCTACTCTAGGTCCTAGTCTATGGTCGGCCGTTGCTCGATTGTCTGTGTGCTGGGATTAAGTAGGGTGGGATCTGAGGAGTTCAGGGTTTGGGGTTTCGAGTTCAGGGTTTCGGGCGTAGACTCCAAGAGCTAGGAGTTTGGATTAAAGGCTCCGGCTTATGGCTTTCGGGGTTCAGGGTGTAGTATTTCTGCGCCTTTTTCGGAAAACCGGGGACCAACAAGTATACACTTTTATTTCATAATGGTTCCTGTAAGAAAAAATATTAAAAAAATGTACTCCAAAGCACAAATCCTAAACCCCAAACCCTAAACCGATGAAGGGTGTAGGAGTTCGATGAGCCCATCGAGTCGTCTTAGCAGTTGGTCATCCTTCCGATTCTTACCCTAGGGGTCCAAGTACCCAAATAGTAGGGTTTCAAGGTCCAAAAACCATTCAAAGTATGGATTTTGGGAACTAAAACCCTACTATTTGGGTACTTGGACCCTCTGGGCTAGGGCCTTGCTAGGAGGCTCATGGGACTTAGTAAGTACTTAAAGGGCTCCTTAAGCGGCTCCTTAAAGGGATCTAAAGGGTTCCTTAAAGGGATCTACAGGGTTTAGGGTTTAGGGTCTACTTGGAGGTTCATGGGACTTAGTAAGTACAGTTATAAGTGCCCTAATGGGAAGTATAAGTACATATAAGTGTAGTTACCTTAGTTATAACTCTTGGTACTAAGTCCCATGAACCTCTAAGTGGAAAGGGTTGCAAGAAGATCCTTCTTGGCACACCCATAGTGAAGTGCCCCCTGAACTGTAGCCCTTTAAACCCTAAGCCCCTTAACTTTCACGGCCCGAACCGCAAAGCCACATAAACCAAATATACAAGAGTTTGAAACCCCTTAGACACTTGAGGCACCGCCAAAACCTGAATCCTGAACGCCCCGCGAACATGCACCAAACGGAGGAACGGTGTGCATCCAAAACCTCAAAGGAAGGTCCCAACTGGGGTTTCGTAAACGTGGCCGACTTCTGAACCCCTCGTAAAAGTTAAACTTTAGCCTCCTTATTATAGTTCATATAGAAGAAACCCCAAGAAGTTAAAGTCTTAAGAGACATCCAGAAGAACGCCAAGTACATGTTCTGACAGGATGCTTTAAGGATTCGACAAGGCTCTGAGAGTTCTGCGTTCTGAGAGGTTGGGTCGGGCTCGTCGCTCTTCATCGATTTAGAGTCCCAGGTTTTTGGATGTCCAGTTTAGCGTTTAATATGCTGTTTAACGCAAAGGTAATATTACTAGCCAGTGGTTTTGGGGGGTCCCTTGGCCCTTTAGCTCCTTATTTCATAGGGATTATCATCATCCCTGGCTCCTTAGCTCCTCCAATATCAATAGTGAGATTGACCGATTCAGGTTCAATTTTTCGGTCTACAACTTCGCGTGTACGGTCGGGGCTTGAGTGTGGCTGTATCCGAAGCCTTGAAGCCGAAACATGGTTTAACAGGTGCCCGCCTTTTTGTTGAAAGATTCGTTCGCCTGGCACAAAGAGATTGCAAGGCTGGTGTAGGGTTTAGGGTTTAGGGTTTAGGGTTGTGCTTTATCATGCTCGTCATCTTGCGAACATGGATCCTGCTGCTCCCACTCAGGTACCAACATGTATTAAAACTAAAGCCGTGCTACTACGACTCCAGAAGAGCATCATCGACTCATGGGAACATTGCGATGGCGACGACTACTTCTTCGACGACCACGACGACGACTACTACTTGTCACCAGTCCTCCTTCTCCGACGACGAAGACCAGTACCACTACGAATACGACTACTGCTACTACTGTACAACTGCTCGGCTGCGGCAGGCTCTACTCCACTACTGCTTTGTAGCTCAACTGCTACTGCTACTACCACTACGACTGCTACGGCTACTACTAGTGCTGCTAATGCCACCACGGCTACAACGACTACTACGACTTGTATGACTTCTACGACTTCTATCACCATTACAACTTGATTCTACGAAAACTGCGGCAATTACGTCTACCACGAATACTGCGATTACTCCGATGCTACCACAACTACGACAAGTAACGACTGCTATCACCGCTGACGCCGCCGACGCCTCCTCCTCCTCCTCCCCTCCTCCTCCTCCTCCCCTCCTCCTCCTCCCTTCATCTACTTCTGCTGCTGCTCCTACTACTGCTACTGCTACTGCTACTGCTACTACTACTACTACTACTACTACTACTACTACTACTACTACTACTACTACTACTACTACTACTGCAACTGCTACTACTACCGCTAATACTTGTGCTACTGCTACTGCTACTACTTGTGCTACTACTTGCCTACTACTACTACTACTACTACTACTACTACTACTACTACTACTACTACTACTACTACTACTACTACTACTACTACTACTGATGATATAAATCCTGCATCACTCATAATAAGGAATTTATCACAGTTCTCATAGTTTAGGGTCGTTGAGGTAATGCAGGATGTATATTATCATCAACCGTACTACTACTACTACTACTACTACTACTACTACTACTACTACTACTACTGCTACTACTACTACTACTACTACTGCTACTACTACTACTACTACTACTACTACTACTACTACTACTACTACTACTACTACTATTACTACTACTACTACTACTACTATTACTACTACGACTCCTTCTTCTACTACTACTACTACTACTACGACTACTTACTGCTTCTACTACTACCACCACTACAGTGGGTACCACTACTACAACCACCACGACGGCGACCGCTGCTACTGGTACTATCACGACGACCCCCTCGTCTTCACCTGCTTGTGTTACTGCGACGGCGTCTGATACTGCTACTCCTGCTACTGAGACTTCTGCTGAAGCTGCTGCTCCTGCTACCCCCCCACCCCCTAAACCCCCAAGCCCCTAAACTCCAAATCTTGTATAAACCCCCAAACCCCTGATCTCTGAGCCCCTGAACCCAAAGGCACCTTCTTTATTCGGCGCTTCTTCGGGTTCTCTGGGTCACCGAGCACGTTGTGTATCAACTGCAGTTCAGGGTTCAGAGTTTCCGGGTTGGAGTTTGGGTGCAGGGGATGACAAACCGTAGCAGCATTCAGTTTAGGGTTTAGGGTTCAGGGTTTCAGTTATGCTATTTGGCTTTGTAATCCTGTGGCTCTGAGATATGCTCTGGGGCTGAAGGTTTTGGGGTTTCGAACTATAACTCTCTTTTTTTAACGTGCTCTACCATGCTATGGGCTTCACATCCATCAAGGATTCAGGTCTTGGGCTCTTTGACTATTCGAGTCCGCTAGGCGGTATGCTAGACATGATGGCCTCAAGTCTGCAGGCTTGGATTGATGGGTCTTCGCAGGCCGAATTTGCATGATTAGGATCCAACCTAAGCCAAATCGTGCTGCCTGTTGCAAAATGCAATAGCTACTCACTCTTTGAAGGACCCAAAGTCGAAACTATTCGACGGCCCGAAACAGGAACCTGGCTCACAGACAACATTCTTTCCAATCAGCCAGCACAAGATGCAACACCGGAAAATTACCGTGTTTGCCAAAACAGAGCTTGGTTTGCTTGCCATCCTGTTTGTTAGGCATCTGCAGCTGACTGCCCTTGTCCTTGCTCGCCGGTGTGCTACCTGTTTTAGTAACTGACTATGGGCTTCAAGGCCAAATGCTGGCCTCCAAAAATCAAGGCCAAGCTCTTCCGGCACCCCAGACGTCTCCAGCTGCAGGAATGTCCGTGCACCTCCAGCTTCCACTTGGAGAGACTTGTTTGGCCTTTCAGGACCATCACTTAGAAGCTGCCCCCACCCTGTAATAGTGACTATAAGGACTATATTAGGGCCCTATTATATTCCTATTATATTCCTATTATATTCCTCTTATACCACTATTACAGGGTGGGGGCAGCTTCTAAACCATCACACTTGCATGCTCCAGCAGAAGGCTCTGCGCAGTGGCGGCGACCCTGCGGGCCGGGGCTGACCTCTCTTTACGCCGTCGTTGGCACTAAACCCTAAACCCTAAACCCTAAGCCCTAAACCCTAAACCCTAAACCGCTCCCCATACAAGGCTGCAGTTACCTAAGTAGGGTTTAGGGTGTTGGGGATTTAGTGCCTGGGGGCCCTAAAATAACCTACATTGTGGGTTACATAACATGTGGGTGATTGTCAGAACTGGGGTCCCCCCCTTGGGTCCCAAACCATTAAGAGCAGACCAAAATACAAAATTATAATAGGGTTCCCCAGAAGGATGAACAAATTGACGACTAGTAACTTACTACGTACTTCGGGAGAAGCGGAGTTTAGGGACAGTCCTCGAGCCAGGTGCTCTGGCTACGGTTCAGGCTTTCGGGCTCATACTGTAGGGTTTATCGTGTTAAGAATTATGGGGATCAGGGTTTAGGGTTCAGGGCTAATAAGTAGTGAGGTTTATCGGGTTAGAGCTTACAGGGATGAGGGTGTAGGCTTTAGGGCTCATAAGGTATATCGCGACAGGGCTTCACGAGGATCAGCTTTGATTTGTGGTTCCTTTTCCATGAGAGTTTGAGGTTTAGGACTCGCAATTAGGGCTTATCGGGGGCTGACGGGGATCGGGGTTTAGAGTACAAGGCTCATACGGTTTATCGAGTTAGCGCTACCCTAAACCCCAAACCCTTATGGGGATCGAGGTTTAGGGCTCATAGGGTATATCGCGTTTATGGGCTCTCTGTGCCAAGGGGTCAAAGCCGTAAGCGGACAAGGGCTCTCAAACGCTGAGCCACAAACACCGAAACTCGTGAACCCCTTTATCAACTATGTTACCCCAACGGTCCAAGTACCTACTAATCATATACTCACCATACATAACTATTATCCTAAAGCCGAATACCTAATTATTGGGTCCTTTGGACCCTTGGGTTATGGAAGCCCCTAAACCCGGCAGGACTGATCCTGGCCCGAAACACTAAAACCGACACAGAAAAGGTCAAACACCAATGAGAACAGCAACTCCAACAACTCTAAGAACGCTGAAACCCAAACCCTAAACCCTAAACCCTGACCCTAAGGGCCCATCTAGCCAAATCGTTTGGCCTTGACTTTACGGATAGTATATACTTTGGCCTTGAAGTACCTCACTGTTAACTTTCTGGAGGCCTAAGTCTAGCATGGACGGCTCCACAATAAACCTCAAACCCATCTGGTACGCGTACGACGTCCGTATTATACCCTTACAGAACCCGAATCCAAAACACCTAAACCCTGAACCCTGAAAAAAATTGTTATCCTTTAAAGGAGCCTTTAAAGACATCTTCTAAGGGAGCGCTTAAAGGCACCTCGCAATTTTGATTTTTTTGGATCCTTAAGGCACTGGCCTTGAAGAGTGTGTTGATCACTTCTTCTCTTTCGGAGGAGTCCTCGCGAAATTTCGAAGGAACAGGGTTCCCTTTAGGGATACGGGAAGCGATTCCTTTAGAAGGTTCCTCCAAGGGGTTCTTTTAAGGGGCCTCTTGAACGGGATTTAGGCTTGGGTTTTCAAGCTTTTGTGAGGTGATTAGGTTTAGGGGCTAGGCTTCGGGAATCTGCGGAGACTTCCGGATCTTCTAGCTCGCACGGCACCCACCAAGGATTCCTTCAAAACAGACGGATTGAGGTTTGGGATTTATAGGCTGTCGTGGTGGCCTCGGTCAGCTGCTGATTCCTCAGCTGATGTTGCTCAGCGCCCCAGACCCGTTAAGATCGCTAAGTGAAAGCTCATCTTATATGGCTTAAAGTAGGCAACGCTTTGGGTGGTTCCGTTTGCATGCCCTAAGGGTCCATGTACCCATATAGAGATACATGAGCCCCAAAGTACCTATATAGGGACTACATTAAGGCCAATGTATATACTGTATGAGTACATGGACCCTTAGGGATGTAAATCCCTCCCTAAGGGTCCTTATGACCCTTGCATGCAGGCCTACGGTCCCGGAAAGTCCCACCACCCCTTAATTAGAGGTCTGCTCTTTTAAGCCTTAAAGGAGTCCGGAACTACTCTCGGCGCCAGCGATAGCAGCACCCGAGACCCTATCAGCAAGAATGGCAGCAAACTCAGCACTAAAGGCCCGGAGATGCCCTACCCCAGCTTAACGGATCATGGGACTTAGAAATTGGGGTTATGAATAAGGCAACCATACTTATAATTACTTATAACCCCAATTAAGGTACTTATAACCTTACTTACTAAGTCCCATGATCGTCCAAGAGGGGCCTTATAGGCAGAGATTGAATATATAAATTTTGGCATATGCTATTATGGTAACAGCACACACACTATGCGGAACCCTGGGAATGGTAGGAATTACTCCTTGGTCATTTTTCTGAATTGCATTCGCCAGCTTTTGCTACCGCAATCTCCAATATTGTGCATATGTTCAGACGATCGTGAACAGAGCTCCCGTCACCACCTTCCTCAGGATCGCCCCAGGTCACGACAGATCCGTTGCCCACAACAGCGGCAAAAGCAGTTGCATTGCTGTTGATCTGCTGCACATCCCTCATCTGATCTTGTACAGAACTGCTGTCGCCACCGTAGTTAGGATCGCCCCATGTGACAACGGACCCGTCGTCTAGAATGGCAGCGAAAGCTCGCATGGAGGCTTGGATGTGCTGCACATTTCTCAGCTGAGCTTGCACCGCACCACTGTTACCACCACAGTCGCTATCGCCCCAAGTCACAACCGATCCGTCGCCGAGAAGTGCAGCAAAAGCGCGGACAGAGGCTTGGATTTGCCGTACATGTTTCAACTGATCCTGCACGGCGCTGCTGTCGCCACCACAGTCGCTATCACCCCAAGTCACGACCAATCTATCGCCTGCAATGGCAGCAAACGCACGGAGCGAGGCTTGGATCTGCTGCACATTGTTCAGCTGATCCTGCACAGCAATACTGTCACTACCAGAGCCAGCTGCCCCCCAGGTAACGACAGCTCCGTTGACAAGAATCGCGGCAAAAGCGCCTTTAGAGGCTTGGATCTGTTTCACATTCTTCAGCTGTTGCTGCACGGAGGCACTGTCTCCGCCAAAGGCAACATGACCCCAGGTCACGACAGATCCGTCGCCAAGAATGGCAGCAAATGCGGCATCAGTGGCTTGGATCAGCTGCACGTTGTTCAGCCTGCCCTGCACAGCACTGCTGTTACCACCATAGTCAGGATCACCCCAGGTGACAACCGAGCCATCAGCAAGAATGGCAGCAAAGGCGTACTCACTGGATTGGATCTGCTGCACATTGTTCAGCTGATCCTGCACAGCACTACTGTCACCACCAGCGCGAGAAGAACCCCAGGTCACAACCGATCCATCGTCTAGAATGGCAGCAAACGCCTCGAAATTGGCTTGGATCTGCTGCACGCTGTTCAGCTGATCCTGAACAGCACTACTGTCACCGCCAGCGAATGCATCACCCCAGGTCACGACTGATCCGTCGCCAAGAATAGCAGCAAAAGCGCCGCCAGAGACCTGGATAAGACACGCATTTTTCAACTGATCCGGCACGGCCCTACTGACATCGCCCCAGCCCTCAATATTGCCCCAGGTCACGACGGATCCATCTCCCAGAATGGCAGCAAAAGCTAAGTCAGAGGCTTGAACTTGAACTGAACTCATGTGCAAAGTTAGTCCGTCTCCGTCTTGCACACAAGACTGCTTGATGGGCACAGAATCATCCAAAATGCTCCCGGATGAGTCCACCAGACGCCCGTGTCCGACCCCCAGAGCGGTCTGCGCCTGAAGTCTCAATGCTTCTACCTCTTCATCGGAATCCACTTGCACAGCAACTGTCTTGCCGCTGAGCAGTCCAACTTCCACAGCCACCGACATGTTGCAGACTTGCACACGCACGGTGATTTTGGAATATCAGTGTCTGGGGGTTGGAAGGCTGAAAATTTTAACAGACGGCTTGGGGCCGTAACACTAAGCCGAAAAACCACGAAGCTCCAAAAGCCGAAACCGAAAACGGATTCTACTGCGCAACGTCTGCACACAAGCCTTACCAACGGCAAGAAAGGCCTTTAAGCGGCATGCTGAACATCGAACGGCACTTATTTTGGGCAAAGTCTTTCAAGCAACCCTTGCGTCACGCTCATAAAGTAAGTAATGTAGGTGAGTTTCTGTCTTGTGTGTGACATACTGTGAACATGCTGTGTGATTTGCAACTTACAACTAAGCAGCTAAGCATGTGCATGCCTTCATGTTGCACCCCTCCCTCCAATAACATAGCCCTACCCCTACCTATGGCAACCCGAGTTTACCGACAACGCCCTTATAATCACTAGTTCAAACACAAAGCTTCCCCCAAAGAGTAACGAACCTTAAAACTTTAAATCCTGACAAAACCTCTGATAACCTGAAACGCTTGGACCCTAATAATCAAGCCCTTTGAACCCCAAAACCGCAACGAACTCCTAGGTTCAAGGGCGCCTCGAGCGCGAGAAGCTGCTGGCCCGAGGCAGCCAGCCGAGTGGCATCCTGGCACGTCAGTTGCGCGGGGCTTTAGGGGGCTTAGGGTTTTCAGGGGTTTAGGTACCTGGACCCTAAGGAACCTACCTTTTTAGGGTTTCCTAATATGATTTCTTTCTATAAGTCCTGAAAAAAGGTAGGTTACGTGGGCTTAAGGTAGGGTTTAGGGGTTTATAGGGTTTAAGGTTTCAAGGGTTTAGAGGTTAATTCGTTGTGAAGCACAGGTTAGACGCACCCTCTGCATGATGGGAAGGTTTGGTCGTCAAGGTTCCATTTAGGGTTACTCTAAGGGTCAATAAGGGTTTCTATACGTGCTACTGTGAGGGCTACTCCAATTAGACGGGTTCAGGGCTTAACTAGGGTGTGCAAGCTTTTGTGGGGTGTAGGGTGGGGTTTGGGGTTCAAGCTGGTGCGGATGGGATTCTGGGATTAAGGTTTTGAACATCAGCGCTTATTTCAGGGTTGTTGCAAGCATGTGTAGGATTTTGTATGGTCTCAGGGTTTATCAGGCTGTGTTTGTTTCTGTAGCCAGAGAGAGCCCAAGACCCTGCAAATCTTGAAAATACTTGCATCGCAACAACAAAGCAGCCGTACAAGAAATCAAGCCGTGCTTCGGAGACATCAAGGGTGTTGGGCCGCTGCGCTTTAGGGTTAAGGGGTTTAGGGTTTAGCGGATGGAAGACACAGTGTAACATGCTTGTTGAAATGGTCTATGAAACTCTACCCGTTGTATGTAATCTCTGTCGTCATGGACCACATAAACTAAAGCATCTAGTGGAGACCAAAAGACAGAACCATAAACCCAACAACACAAACTACTCCACCACTACCGTGACGAACACTGCCAACACGTGCAGTTATTCTGCGAAACCTCAAAAACTAGGGACAAACCTTACCCAAACAGAACCCTCCAACTCGTTCCAAATCCCAGGGAACTGCCCTGAACTCAAGTCCTACAGCCAACAATCCTTTGAACCCTGTGCGAAAACCCCGCAATGCAACAACCCTGGCCTAGCGCCAAACCCAGTAGGGTGGTTGTCAAAATTAGGGTCCCTTTTTGGGTCCCTAATATAGTACGGTACCCTAAAAGGGGCCACAATTTTGACAACTACCCATATATGCCTAGGCCGCTAGGGTTTAGGGTTTAGGGGTTTAAGGTTTAGAGTTTACGGTTTTGGGGTTTAGGGTTTAGGGCCCAGTAATGCAACGACTGCAGGCGGACCGGAAGCGACACGGGAACATCATTGGAGACCTCGTCGGGTGCTCTGACAGTTTCAAGTTCAAGCCCATTTGGGAGTTTCCGAAATGAGGGGTACCTCATTTTGGGGACCTTATAAGAAGGATCCTACCATTTAGGCTGCTATATGAGGGTCCCGTATTTTCGAAAACTCCCATTTTTGCTAAACTCAAGCCCCCTCTCCTTACCACGTGAAGGCGTAAAACACAAAACAGACCTTCCAGTATCCCGTGATTGAAGAATAAATCCTAAACTTCCGTTATAGTAGGATCTCTGAGGTATATTCCATAATTGAGGGATTTTGGAAGGTAAGGAAGCCCGAATCGGAAAACGCCCCAGGTCCCAAACTTGCCCGGCCCTAAACCCCTAAACTCCTAAACCTTAAACTCCTAACTCCTAAACCCCTAAACTCCTAAACCCTTTCAAACCCCTAAACTCCTAAACCTAAACCCCTAAACTCATAAACCCCAGAACCCTTGGATCCGCCCTTCAGCCCAAGGTCAGGACCGCAAGAAGGGTTTACAACTACCATAGGTTGGGTACGGCCCCCCACCCAGTAACAGTTGAATAATTTTCACAATCTAGATATATTAGGACCTTAATAGTAGCCCTACTATAGACTCTTACTGTAAGGGGGCAGTACCTAAACCATAGGGGCTTTGATAATTCGAATAGGGTTTTGGGGCCCATCAAACTATCGTGACAATAAGGAACCATCAAAATAGTATAGGCAAGTATTGTAAGGCTCCTATAGTACAGCTTTGGGACGATGCCCTGCAGCCAAAAATCCCTGAAACCCCTGAGTCACTAACCCCCCCCCCCAGGACATGAACCTCTACCCTCAACTGTAATTACCCAGAGGCCCCAAAGTAGTTCCTTTTTGGGATTACCCTATAGGATTCTATGCTGTTTTACGTGCTGCGTAGAAAGCCGGTAAACTCAATGGGCTTGAAACCTTCAAGGGAAAGCTCGCGGAAAGAAAACACTAAATGCTCGAGCTTGCGGCCCAAAATCCTCAAACCAGAACATAGGGGACTCAGGGAGTATATTGAGGTTATATCGGGATAACAGTATCCCAAACTCAAATGCTACCTGGTCCACTAGTAAGGGGGTTCCGAATGATGAGAAAAAGGGTGCGGCGCCCATGTCAGCCCGTTATACGCAGGCATCCCAGGAAACACCATGAGCGGCTATCTGGCGCTTATAGATACTTGGAGGGTCGGGGGACTTAGTAAGTAGTTATTTTATAGACTTCTCCGTATCATAACCCCAATTAGGCTCCCTGCTAGGGTACTTATACGACTACTTATTACCTACTTAAAAGGACCAACCCCAAAAACACAAAACCTTAAAACCCCCAAATCCCCGCCTCTCGTAGATCCTTTACAAGATCCCTTTAAAGAACCCGTACAGGAATTCCTCCAAGATCCTGTAAACGAACCCTTTAAACATCCCTTCAGGGAACCTATTTCCTCGATCAAAATCTAAGAACCCAAGGTCACTGAAGTGCCTCCGTCAAGTCCGCCATGTCCCGCAAGGGCCTTTTCGACCGGGCTTCTTAGGGGGCTTAGGGTTTAAAGCCTACCCCAGGGGTCCAAGTACCTAATTATCATATACTCTCCAAAATCATAACCTACATAACTACTATCCTAAAACCGAGTACCTAATTATTGGGTCCTTTGGACCCTTGGGTTAGGGTTTAGGGTTGAAGGAGTTCTCCAAGACCACACCCCAAATCGTTAACCGGTGTAGCAAGGGATCTGCAACAACAAGACTAGGCTAACCAAGGGGTTTAGGGTTTAGGGGTTTAGGGTTTAGGGGTTTAGGGTTTAGGGGTTTAGGGTTTAGGGGTTTAGAGTTTAGGGTGTCGGGTTTATCTAACCAATGGTTTTGGGGTTCCCTTGGCTCTTTAGCTCCTTTTTAAGTAGGGATTATCATCACCCCTGGCTCCTTAGCTCCTCCAATATCAATGGTTAGTAGCGTCTTGATGAAGAAGAGATTTAGCAACCAGAAATCGCGAGCCTCAGTGCTGCTTGGGCAGCCGCAGACTGGGCAGGACCAAAACCTACGAATTGCTGGTGCTGCTAAGGGTGGATAGGGCTCAGTGGTTCTAGCATCTAGGTTGTATACCTACTTGTCGGGTATCATGGGGCACTAAAGGTTAACTTGTTTGGTTATATAGGGATAATGTAGGGACTATTCTGCCAAAAAAAGGTTAAAGGTTACCTACTCTACTACTAGGTATAGGTGGCCGGAACAGGGGAATCCGGCTTCGGTCGTAGGCTGTGCCTTCCTTGAGTATCAGCTTTGGGATGGGGCCTCTGAAGCTCAGAAATCGGGGTGGGGTTGTAGGAGCTTGGCATGTAAGGGGCAGCGCTTCGAGCCAATCGCACATGGAGGGCAAGCAAGAGAGCTCATCAAGGTAATGATAGTAGTGACCAGATTCGACCGTGAACCCTAAGCCACTAAACTAGCAAGACAATACGAACAGCAAACATAGTGCCCCAAAGCCCCATAACAGAAATCCAGATCCCAAGCCCCAGAGCAGCACACCCTCACGCGTTTAGTAGATCCCAATACGCAGGAATTGAAAAGAAAAGCTTTCTGATTGGAAAGTATTTGAAGCCGATTTCTCAGATTTCACCCGTCCCGTCCCGGGCACTAGACCAACATCATGTCCAGCAGGAGTAGTAGCAGCAGTAGTAGTAGTAGTAGTAGTAGTAGTAGTAGTGGTAGTAGTGGTAGTAGTACTAGTAGTAGTAGTAGTAGTAGCAGCAGCAGCAGCAGAAGTAGTTGTTGGTTAAAAGTCTTTCGAAGTAGTAGTAGTAGTAGTAGTAGTAGTAGTAGTAGTAGTAGTAGTAGTAGTAGTAGTAGTAGTACTAGTAGCAGCATCAGGAGTAGTAGTAGTAGTAGTAGTAGTAGTAGTAGTAGTAGTAGTAGTAGTAGTAGTAGTAGTAGCAAAAGTAGTTTTTGTTTAAAAGTGCAATGGGCCTTTCGAAGTAGTAGTAGTAGTAGTAGTAGTAGTAGTAGTAGTAGTAGTAGTAGTAGTAGTAGTAGTAGTAGTAGGTAGTAGTAGCAGAAGTAGTTTTTGTTTAAAAGTGCAATGGGCCTTTCGAAGTAGTAGTAGTAGTAGCAGCAGTAGCAGAAGTAGTATTTGCTTGAAAGTGCAATGGGCCTTGCGAAGAAGTAATAGTAGTAGTAGTAGTAGTAGTAGTAGTAGTAGTAGTAGCAGTAGTAGTAGTAGTACTACTACTACTACTACTACTACTACTACTAGTAGCAGTAGCAGTAGTAGCAGCAGGAGTAGTAAGTAGTAGTAGTAGAAGTAGTAGTAGCAGTAGTAGCAGCAGCAGCAGAAGTAGTTGTTGGTTAAAAGTGCAATGGGCCTTTCGAAGTAGTAGTAGTAGTAGTAGTAGTAGTAGTAGTAGTAGTAGTAGTAGTGATAGTGGTAGTAGTAGTAGTAGTAGTAGTAGTAGTAGAAGTAGTAGTAGTAGTAGTAGTACTACTACTACTACTACTACTACTACTACTACTACTAGTAGTACAAGTAGTACTAGTACTAGTACTAGTAACATTTCGTAGTAGTAGAGTAACCAAGACTAGAACTCAGACCGGTACGTAGCGCCAGAGGCAGCTGCAGCAGACTAGAGAAGGAGCAGAAGGAACAGAAGCATCAGTCCGCCGCGCTGAAAATGAACCACATCCGATTCGAGACTTGTTTTCTTGCCATAGCCATCCAATTCTGCACTGAGAGTTTTGATTTGCGGACATGTAAACAAGCTTAGGGCTAAGGGTTTAGGGCACATCAGTGTGCTCTTATGTAAATAATCAAAAACCTGAGCGAAATTTTTATCATCTTCGTATGTGAAATGCTTTCTGCTCTTCATCGCATGATGCATGTGGCCGACGTGAAACCCTACATGTAGTGAGACAACTTCGCAGCATGCGCACGCATTGCGTGCATCTTTAGCTGTCGGTGAAACTCTGAAACCTGAACTCCGGCGAGGTCCAACTACTGCGTTTTTGGCGGCGGGAACTTGAATCCTGCAACTCTAGGCCCAATCTCGCACGGTTCTGCATTTGGTGGGACAGTTTGGTTAGTTTCTAAGAGCTTACAACTGAGGCAGACTAGATCGAGTTAGTTTTGCTGCTGATGCACATCAAGAAAGCGTCGTGGACCATAGTTGGGCTACACAAAAAGCCCGAACTAAGTCTAAACCCAAAGCCATAAGCCAGCATCAGCGTAGGGTCTGCTCCATGACATAGTACGTAATGGCAGAACTAAGCAAACTGAAACAAGAAACACGCCCAAACAATCCAAACCGTAAAGCCTAAAACTCTCGACTCTCAACATCAAGCCCTATACCCAGAGGCCCCAAAGTAGTTCCTTTTTGGGATTACCCCATAGGGTTCTATATACGAACCCCAAAAAGGAACTACTTTGGGGCCTTTGGGTAAGCCCAAGATGACCTCGAAGCCGTTAGTCCTGAACCCTCAGCGCCTAAAACCTGCATTAACCAACTTTATATTAACCTTTGAACTCAAAACTCTTATAAACCCTACCTGTGACCCCAAACCTCATAAAATAGTAGGTTATGGCCCCTTAATTAGAGGGTAGAACCCTTAAAACGGTGGGTTTTCGGATCTGCAGGTAGACCCTAAACTCTTGGTATACTACCTGGAGCTCCGAGGCGGGTTTCGGAGCTTTTGCGGTTCAGGGCTTTTGTGATAAACTCCTCACAGCTTTAAAACCCACAGGCTTCATGCAGGTTTCTGGTAGATACGTACTTCAGCCTTAAAGTACCTGTATAAGGACCCCTTTAAGGCTTAAGTATGTACTATAAAAGTACCTGGAGCCTTCGGGAAAGTAAGTCTAAACAAGCCTATGCGACGCTTGTACACTACCCCGCCCCCGCTGTATCCTGCAATTAGGGATCTACCCCGCGATCCACACCTACCACCCATCACCCCCCTTTCCCCGGCCACAGTAATACTGTTTCTATAGAGATTCGAAGGGTTACTAAGGTTGCTACTACACGGAGGCGCTTAATCGGGATTACATTAACAAGGACTGTCATCGGCTGATCATTGTTATCATGACTGTTCAGAAGGTTTTATCAAGAATTATGGCTTGCGGCTGGGGGGCCTAGGAGAACGCCGTCAGGATTCGTCGGGCACAGGCGGCAACGGCTCCAACCTGAGGCAGGGGCATGTGTTAGGGTATGGGTTTTAGGGTACTCCCAAACACATCGTTCATCATGCTTCGCACGTAGCAAGCAGATCCAATCATGCATCGTTGCTGCTGTTGCTTGAATGCTTTGTGGCGGCTTCCTGGGTTTGGATAAGCGAAACAACCCAACGGAATCCGACAGATACGGCCCTGAAGCTCGAAACTCTGAGGCCACAGGCACTCGAGCCCTTCCAGCCTTAACATCGAATCCTTAAATGCTTGAACCATACGCAGGACCTCAACTTAGACTTCGGTAGAACGGCAACAGTGTAAACAATAGACACCTTGCAGCGGCATAAAGGGTTCTATGTACCCCAAAAGTATGCAGAATGCATAGGTACCAGAACCCCCCCAAGTAATTGCCCTTTAATAGCGCCCTTACGGTCATGAATAGTGGGTATTTAGGGTAGAATAGTGGGTAGTTGGGGGGTGCTAGTACGCCCTCAACCCTTGAACCCTGAATCTCGAACACCCGCCTCAGCGCAGGCTGCTCGGGACAATCCGTGTAGCTTTGGCCGTTCAACGACACCTGCCACGGTTTAGGATTCAGTTCTAACGACCCTAAACCCTGAACCCTAAACCCCTAAACCCTAAACCCGCAAGGTAACCATGGCCATATCTACCTATACCCCTCCATTCGGGGTACTTATAATCCTACTTGCAACTCCCCACAACGCTACAAGTCAGTCCCACATGCAACAGTGGTACTGTGAGGGTCTTGATAATCAGGATACGGGTTCTCCTTCCTTCAAGTGTGAAACTGCATGACTAGAGTGACTAGAGGCTTTAATGGGGTAGTTTCAACAACCAGCCGACCCCTGTATAAGAGATTTGTCCAACCCTGACGCCCTACACCCTGAGCCTTTCAAGCTCTGAAACCCAAACCATAACATAACACCTCAGCTCCTGAATACCTACACATTAAGCAGCAATCCCCAAACTAGATCAGAATGACAGAAACCTTTCAACAACCCTAGAAGCACATAGAAAACCCTCTACGGCAATCATGTTCCAGCAAAAACCCTATTTATTCAACTGCTCTCACGCCCCAATAGATCAAAGATTACTGTCGAATGTCGAAGCTTGAACTGGAAGTTCTTTCAGGGCAAGTATCCCTAAGAAAATTCCCAAACCTTAAGCCCTCAACCCTAAAGCACTGAACCCTGAACCCTAAACCTCTAAACCCCTAAACCATCTTAAATCGACACCCTTCGCCCCCAAGCCTAACCTCTAACCCCTAAACCCTAAAATACCTACGCCTCGACCCCAAGCCCCTAAACCCGTAACCCTACACCCCAAAACCCCTAACCCTACACCCCCTAAACCCCTGAACCCCTAACTTTGGCCTGGAAGTTCTTGAGGTACTGTTATAGACCCCTTTTAAAGGAACCCGAAGCCCCTAAAACCCTAAACCTGAACTTTGGCCTGGAAGTTCTTGAGGTACTCTTATAGACCCCTTTTAAAGGAACCCGAAGCCCCTAAAACCCTTAACCTGAACTGTGGCCTGGAAGTTCTTGAGGTACAAGGAGAGGCCCTCTGGCGCCTGATCGGACCTGGGCTTCGAGGCTTGGGAGCCCACTTGGAGGGTCGGGGGACTTAGTAAGTAGGGGGCTCCTTTAAAGGGGATTCTAGGAGCTCCTCTAAAGGGCTCTATAGGGGTACTATAGGGTTTAGGGTTCGGGGACTTAGTAAGTAGGTAGTAAGTAGACTTATAAGTACCCTATAAGGGACCCTAATTGGGGTTATGGTACTTATAAGTCAATAAAATAACCAGTTACTAAGTCCCCCGACCCTCCAAGTGGGGGCCCAGGGACTCCAACATCCCTTTAATTAAGGAATATGGGGGTTTCCGACAACTAGGGGTACCTTATTTTAGGGTCCTTATACTAAGGATCCTACTATTTAGGGTGCTATATTAGGGTCCCCTATTTTCGGAAACCCCCACATCCCTTTAATTAAGGAATATATATCCAAGGGTTCCTTAAAGGGATCTATAAGGGTTCTTTAAGGGGTTCGAGAAGGAAATTAAGGAATATTCTTTAAATTGAGACAACTTTGGGGGGGCTGGGCTGACACGGCGCCCCTTCTCAGAAGCAAAATTGGGAAAACATGCTTCTGAGAAGGTTCTCTGTTTTCATTCGCAAATGCAAAACGGTTTCAAGGCCCAACATGTTCAGCATGAACATACGTGTCAAGAAGTTAGGGAATATACCATGTTGCTATTTAGCACAAGTTCGTGGGAAGTGACATAAGCATGTTTTGATGGGTCTAGGAATCTGACGGTGTGCAAAATGAACTAAAACTGGTAGAAAAACAGTCCTGCAAAACATAAATCTGAGAAAACCTGGTTCGTGGGTGGTATAATACGAAGTGTTTTAAATCAATGATGGTTCCTGAGGAAAAAGGAAATCTGTATATAAGTCCAAAATGTGCAAAACAAATAGAAGACAAACATCCCAGAAACAGGCAGCAGTAAGCAGTAGAGGCAGAACAGCAAACATGAGTCAGAGGAGGAAGCCAAGAGAGGACAGGACCGGACAATCTGCCCCTAAGCCCTTAGCCCCCAACATGCCCAACCTAGGTCGTCAACCCTAGCCAGCCTGAGGCATCATTTTCATAATTAGTTTAAGACTAAGTCCTCAACCCCTAAATTGTTTAAATGAAATCATATCCCAGGACTCAGCCCCCCTGGACTCGAATATAATATGCTGAAGCCCATTTGCGGTTAATATTAATGTTAGTTAGTTTGTTTGTTTGCTTGTTTGTTTGTCTGTTAGTTAGTTATGATGGCTTATGAGGACTCTTGACGAACCGAAACGGACGAATAATGACGACGAGACGAGGATGACGATGACTCCGTCCATCGCGAGGATGCTGTCAGCCACCGGACCTCAGGGACAGCTAAGCACAGAGATGCAGGTCAGTCAGACAGACAGGTCGAATGAAAATTTCGGCAAGCCACTGAGCTGTTGTTCCAGGTGGATGACCAACATGTCGTGGCCTGGCAGGGTCTTATATTATAAGATGAATCGGATGAGACTCATAATTAGACTCACACACTCGCACTCACTCGGCTGATGATCATTTTGGTCGAGGCCCCTCATTTGAGTGATTCGCCAGGAGTCCGGGAGTCTCTCTGAGATGATCTGTGCTGCATAGACTGGTGAACTTGGAAGTATGTTATCTTAGTATTTTGTCTCATTCAAGTTTTGATATTTAATATCAATTACCATTATTTTTGTTTAAAAATTTATTAATTATTATAATTATTTACAGTGAGATACTAGGGAGACTCCCCCTCCTGTTCCCGGGTCTCCGGGTGCATCCCGGGACGACACGTCCCTCTGTGCATCCTGGGACGACTCGTCCCTGACCATCTCCTCAGTCCTCATCCTCATCGTCAACATCCACGACCACCGGGGGCCCCTGCCCCCGCGGGTGGGACGACAAGCCCCTGCCCATCTCCATGATCCGGGCCATGACTCGCACCGTCTCAGTGGGCCTGTGATAACCTCCCGACGACGAGGAGGACGGCTGGAGCGACTGCCCCCCCTGGAGCGACGGCTCCCCCTGCTGGACCCCTGAGGACGACGGCTGGAGCGACTGCTCCCGGAGCGACTGCTCCCGGAGCGACTGCTCCCGGAGCGACTGCTCCCCCTGCTGCTGCTCGTCCTCGGGCGCCTCGTCAGGGAGATCCTCCACCGCCATCGCAAGCACACTGGTCGCAATCGTGGAGGAATCCTCCAGCAAAGCCAGACAGGCAGCAACTGCTGCCCGACAGTCTGTGCCTCCCATCTCCAGAAACTTCCGGAGCCTGTGCATGGCATCCTTGCCCTTCTGCAACAGGTAAGTCGCCGGGAAAGCATTCCAGCGTGTGTTTCTGGTGCAAGTCGCCCAGAAACTGTCTCCCCGGCTCTGGGGCACCTGCCCCACTGCACCAACTCCTCGGGTGAACTTCACCCGCGAATCCGGGGGCGGAAGGGGGCCACTGCCCCCTGGCCCCCATCCATCGCTCCCAATAGCATCGGAGAGCGTGGCGGCCGTGTCGATCACCTCCAGGACGCAACTGCGCCCAATGTAACTGGGCAGGTGCTGCAGCAGCCAGATCCCAGCATCCCGCAGGTCATCCAAGACCTGCTCCTGACAGCGGAGCTCGATCCAGGCAAGGCCATCCTGGCGGACCTCCGCCAGGATGGCCTTTACCCAGTCCTCAACTCGCCTCTCGTAGGCCATGGCTGACTCAGCCCGGCTCGGGATAATAACTACACCCACTTGGAGAACTACTCCCCTGTATTATTATTGGATCGGAGAACTACTCCCTTGTAGCTACTTGGAGAACCACTCCGTTTAAATGTTTAACTACACCCACTTGGAGAACTACTCCCTTGGGATGGGTTTGTTAATTCAACCCGCGAATAATAAATTGATATTAGATTAAAACCTGGATGGTCCCGTATTCCCCCAGTCAAACAAGTGAGTATAATCTACATGTTATGATACAAATGAGGCCAAGGCCGGGAAAAGCTGTTGGTGGGTTGCGAAGAAGTGAGCTGCAGTATTCCACACAATTTAGTGTTACCTGTACTGTACTGTCTGACAGAGATAGTCTGATGATGTATTTCTTTCCCGGGCCTCAGCCAGTCCTAAATTGAATAATATATTCAATAATACTGGGTGTCTCCCCTAGCCAGAAAGCTACTTCATTGATGGGTTGGATGATCGATGCACCCATGAAATCATTTACTATCGAGAGTATCATATTTATCAAATTTTTAACATCACTAGCAGTGGCCTCGATGGGCCTGGGTATTGATTCTTAAAGTCTTAGCTGATACGGACGGTCAGCACTCACGTCACTGAGATCAGATCTTCAGGCAGCGGTCAAAGGTGCATGAAATCAATGACTGACACAGCCAACAGCGACACACCACCTGTCTACTGAGCTGAGACTGTCAGACCCTGCAGAAAAGTCTCACTGAATTTTATTTTATTTGATTCAACCAGTGACACCGAGCCTGAGCTGAGACGAGCATGTCCGGATCTTGAAGTCGGCGAGGAGCGAGGTGGTCCTGCTGGTCAAGGCTAGATTCATTAAAACCACTACAGACATTTCTTGTGTGAGCATCAAGAGGCCAAGGAGGTGAGGGTATGTCAAATTGACGATGTCATTCATAATTAACTAATTAATTACTGCATGGCATCAAGACATTCCCAATCGACATCAACAAAGTGTGATTCTTATGAAGTTATGACGAAGCAAAACAAGCCCAGGCTGTAGGGTCAATTACTGCCGCTGGTGTGTCAATCTGAGGCCGGATCAGATCAGGGAGGCTGCTAGCAGATGTCATAGTTACTCAGTCATGACTCATGTGATGCTGTCCTGCATTGTCGCTTGCCGATGCACTGTGGATTTGATTTAAATATAATAATGCAAGATCAGGTGAGGAGGGTGTGATGGGTGATTGAATTGGTTGGAACTGCTCGCCCTGAGTTGTGCACTCCCTACTGCAGGGTAAGGGCCAAGTCAGGGAATGGCATACTCATGACTCATGTGTGTCGCTCGCTTAGCTTGTCTAGTATATCCTTGGGGATTAGCTCATTTTTGAGTCATCATCATCAGCAGGAGCTTTTTTAAAAGTTTCGTATTATACTGTTTTTTCCACCACATACCTATTAGCTAAAATTGAAGACAATGCCTGTCTCTAGTAATTTATCTTAGTACATCAGAATACACTCGCACGGTATAACAATATTGATATTATGATCCCTTAAGTAACAGTTCTAGCATATTGTGTTATGAACCATTAGAAGCCTGAATTACTAATAGAATCTTGTGTCAGAAAATTGATAAATAATTAGAATCATTCATT